TTCAAAAAAATTAAAAAATTTTAGAATGTAATTCATTTTGTAATTTGAATTAAACTCAAAAAATTATATTTTCACGCAGCAACTTGGATAATAGCTAAAATTGTCATTTTTATAGTAATTAAACTTTATTTTATCATAAAAATAATCACAATTTTTAATGAGTAATAATTACAAACCAACAAATTTTGAGGGAAAATAAATTTTTGAAAAAATAAAATCTTCATTAAAACGATAAGTTTGTTTGTGTAATGTAACAAAACGAAAGATAATGCGATAAAATAAAAGATTTGAGCAATTTTTTTTTATTATTTTGAAAAATCAAATAAAAAGCTAAAATTAAATTAGTGCAAATCTTAGTAGGCCTTTCAAGGCTATTTCAGATTGACTGAGGGAAATTTGATAAAAGTTTAGGAAGTGTATGTGACTTAGAATGAGCGACAAATCCCTTTGTGGCCAAATATTATTGCATCTGAACTGGAAAATTAGCACGAACTAAAACTTGAGTATTTATTTCCATATCAGGTCAAGATAATTTATGTTAGATTAAATCTTTGATTTTGAATATTAGTGTATATGTAAATATATTTTGTATTATAAGCACTAAAATGTTGTCGTCAAATACTATACACATATTTACGTGATTGTAAAAGTGCAGATTTAACGTTTATTTAGATCTTTAATTATTCCCCTTGCTAATTTTCACTTTAGAACACATGTCAAGTTGATATTTTACCACGCTCGCTATTTGGTTCATAAATTAATACTTTTGAACGATAAACTGGAAAATCTCGAGTTTTATGGCAAAATTTATAAAAAGAACTGATAATTAAATTTTAATTTGAAATTAAATTCGATAAATCACTTCAAAAACTGAATATATTATTACCAGTAAAAAATGAATAATTATTCTATTACTTTTTCTCAACAACTGACAAGTTTTTGCTTACTTTTTAGTATTAGATTGAATTAGCAGAAAATTATTCAATTATTAATAACTGCGCAATATTAATGTCAAACTTGATTATAAAGTATTTAGCATAAATTAAAAAAATCATTTCATATAATTTTATTTAAGCTCTTTCATTTATTGCTGCTAATATTTTATTCTATTCATTTTTCTTTATGTAAAAATTAATTAAATGTTATTAATTTCTTTTTTATTAATGACAGTGACTGCCAAAAGCCCAATGTATGCTAAATATGTATAGAATTTCATTCAGCTAAAATATGACAAATCTATGCTACATGCTGTAAATAATATTATTCTACGTAATGAAAATTCATCAAAAGTAATTTTATTTTTCAGCTAATATAAATCTTTTGAATGAATTAAAAATAGCAGTTGTATACACGCAAAGTAAAAAATATTCAAGTCATTAATCTATTAAAAAACTTGATAATTTTCAGGCGAACGAATATTTCATACTAGAATATAAGCCTTTCGAACCAAAAAACCTGATATTTACTTACATTTTACTTTCTTAACAACAAAATCTGCAATTAATACAATCACATCTCATGTGATGAGGCAAAAATTTTTGTTGGCTGAAAAAATTTTTTCAAATTTTACTATATTTTTAAACTTGTTGACTTATTAAATAAGTAACTTGCCGATTATCAAATAAATTATTTAATAATCGTTAAAAAAAATCACTGCCAATTATTTAAATATTAATAGTTTCTTAAAGATTGAGCTTTTTTTTCGCGAGATAAAAATCAAATTTATCAGATTTAATATAAAATCTCAACTAGAAATATTAAAAGAAAATTGCGCGTTTTCAATTATACTCTTTACTTAGCAATTAAATTGACAAAAACCTTACTGACAGTTTAGTGAATAAGAAATAATTGAAAAACATTTTAATTAAAAAAGAAACTACAAATATCAGCAAACGGAAGTGAACAATTCTAATTAATAACTACTGAAAGGTGATAAAATATGAGTACTGACGTGAGTTAACGAGAAAATATAAAGTTATCAGGATGGTACATTCAAGTGATCGAATTAATTAACAGATATTATTTTTTAAAATAAAATCAATTTCGATTTAGCAAATTTTTTTAAAAGCATGCACTATATTATATTTAAGATTAATGTACATTTTATTTTTGATTTAACATTTAAATCAATTTTACACTACTGAACTGACTCACTTCGTGTCATAAATTTGACCTGTTTTAGCTATAAACTATAAATCAATTGTTTAAATACAGTGACCCATTGTGATTATGTACTGATAATAATCACAAACATTTAAATAGCACATTCTTGATTTTTGTTATAATTTTATCATAAACTGATAATTTTGTATAGATTTCTATACAAAATTATTACAATTTACTCGAGATCTACAATTCAATATAATGACTTATAATCAATCTCTAAGACTGAATCTTTCAATGTGGCACATAATTTCTTCCATGCACATTTCACATCATATCTTGCATCAGAAACTGTATTACTTTTTTAAAAGATCATATATGATCAAACATCTATCAATTAATTATATAACCTAGTAAATTCTTAATTTCTGAATACTTAAACACATGCAAACTTATACAGATTATAAGCCCAAACTTATTATATCTCAAAATTTATTTAAAAGAAGTGCAGTAATTCGTAATAACAACGCCAGTGCCTTTTTTAATTTTGCCAATACCAATAACTGATCATAATTCAATTTTCTAAATTTCAGCACTTCTATGATTCAGTCGCTAATTTTTTCATGCCAGCACATAAAAAAGTAAGCAAATCTATCAGTAAATCACGCCAACAATTTTTTATTTAATATAAAAATATTATGCATTAATATGAATTACCTACTTACACTATGACTACCAAATATGTCATACCACGTAAAAATGATTTGTCAAATTTAGTCATACTTTGAGATAAAAAAATTTATGATGAAGAACTTTTGCGCACATCGAGAGATAACATGTACAAAGTCTGTTCTATTTATAAAAAATATTTTATAATTACAATTGACTAAAATCATATTTTATGATTAATATAACATTTTCATATTTATTATATACTTTAAAAAGTAATTACAAAAAATAAAACATTCTTTCCGTCAATTTTAGATCCAATTTTGAGTTATTTTCTTATAAACGAAATGAACATAAGCAAAATATATAATCTCAGACTAATTTTTGAGCTTTCCTTTTCTTGCATTAAAAAAATTCGAAAAATAACAGCAGTGATGCATGCACCTTTCGAATTTTATTACGTTAAAAAGTAATTACAAACATGTTTTTTTCCCTTTTTTTTCAAAATTTAAATGAAAAATTTTAGTAACATAATAATAATATTGACATATCTTGCAATGTTTCTTCTCATTTTAATAATAAATAGTAATATCGTTAATTTAATAATAGCCGTAAGAATAAAAATGGTAAAAATCAATACAAAATAAAGAATCAAAAAAAAATTCTGAAAGCATAATACAAGCAATGCTAACTAGGGCAAGTATAGAATAAACTGTTTGAAGACATAAAATTGAATATAACAATTTCTAGAACTTAGCACAATTCTTCTTCAGAGTCACATTGATAGAAGTTTTGGAGAGAATGAATAAAGGTTTTAGTAATGTTTGCAAAGCAGGCAAGCAGCGTTAAATCTATAGCCAAGCCTAGACTAGCTAACCAAGCCTAGATTTACTAGCTTTACATATCAACAAACACTCTGACCAAATATGCCTTAGTACATACATATCGCAGCAAATATGAATAGGTATATATATAAAACGTGAAATTGACAAAATGGCCACAATTCAATCCTTTTACAAAAAAAGTAACATCAACTTCATGAAAAAACCCACGTCATCCTCATAATATATACCGACATATTTAAGTACGCAAATAAACACGTTAAAAGTCAATTGCTCAAATATTCCTATACTTTTACACAACTACTTCAACTCCTTATTTATTCATTCACTCATTCGTAACTTCTTTACATGTTACATGTACTCAAAAAAATTTACATATGCATTTACATATGCAATTTACATTTACTTTATAATTTCAAATGTTATAATTGAAAAACAATTAACATACTGCAACAATTGCTAATGTTTCCTTCTAAAAGTATGAATCTATTAAAACATAAGATAAAAAATTAAAGCTTGTGCTAAAGCAAAAAGTAAACTTATAGCAACTGACACTATTCCAAAAGTCCTGAAATTAACACACAATATCATTAAAATGATATACTTGTGCAGAACTACGTCATTATCCATCAATCTAATCCTTTATTTCTCATCAGAATGTAAGCTTATACAATTAAGAATCACAAATTAACTTGCAGCAAAATGTTAACAAAGTCAAGAATAGAAGAGTTTATTGCAATGCAAAATAGATAGATAGATAGATAGATAGATAGATAGAGTAGACAAGTTAGTAAAGATATGTTTACTCGCAAAATTTCTGCATTAGGATTAAAAAACAGAGAGTAGTGATTAATTTTATAATTTCATCTAGTAGGAAACATATAATATAGCTAAAATATGATAATGAAGTCTTCGTTAAAAGTAAAATAAACGAACGCATACGAACGCTACATCATCACTACACATGAGTACTGAAATATCAGCAAGTACGAATTTACAATGCTAAAAGAACAAAAACTGTGCTCTCGACGGATGGATTTTTTGCCATAGCTTCGAAAAAAAGCATCTAAGTGGAAGAGATATCTAGCATAATGAAAGCAGTACTCAATCATTAGCACATACAAACATAACAAATTATAACACTAACTGGGCACCGTTTTCTTGGTTCTATACCTTCGAAACAACCAACATTCTTTTTTAAATTCCTTGAAAGGAATGATGGATTATCATGACAGCCAAATCAATCATTAAACAAAATATGAAATGCATTCACTCTCATTCTATTGATAAATAACTGATCTCAAATACATTCATAATTCCACCTCAACTGAGCAAGATCATTTCATAGATCACAGACTTACAAATACAAATGATTACTACTATTCATCAATTGCTAATTAAATTCGGAAGCTTATAACGTTTTTTCTTCCGCTTAGGAATGATTCCAAACGGTTTTAAGCGTTGTTTTTTGTCATCATCTGGTAATTTTGGTCTTTTCCGAATTGATTTAATTTTAAAGTTCATCATTCCACCGTTTAATAACAAAGCTGAAAATACTTTCAACACTTACGAAACTTCAACAGGATATTAATTTTTTTCCAATATCTAAAATATTTTGTTCCCACAACGATACGCCATATATGATCGAAATACTTCTAATTATATCCCTGAACTTAATGGTAATATTAAAAATTTAGAACATAACATACCAGATTTTGAATCATCAGCACTACTGTTCCCTTTGTTATCTGATAAATCATGTCTGTTGCTTACTACCACAACTCCTGTCACAAATGTCGCTGAAGTTTTTATTACACATCACAAAGAGCGATAAATGAAAACTAGCTAATCTTAAGACAGCAACTTTTGATGATTACTCAATATCGGAAAAGTGAACAGTTTAGTAACACTCAAAACATATTACTGCAAAGATATCAATGATGATTAATTTGAAAAACTGAAGGATAACTACGATTAGTAGGACTAATTTCACCAGGTAAGAAAACTTTTTCTAAGTTTTAACATATAGTACAAAAGTAATAGCAGCAAATGAGATTATTCACCTTTTTCTATGATTCGCACTTCATCATTACAAAAATGCTAATCTTATTTTTACTGTGTCACAAAACAAAGCTTCTTCCTTTTGGCATATTCTACACTGATTAGTGAAATACTATAACAGTTAAGAAAAGACTCAAAATTAGATATAATGAAATACATGATTACTAAATACAGCAATTTTATAAACATCTGACAAGCAATAATTGTTTAGGCGAAAAACCTAATATGGTTCAAAATTTTTTTCTGAGTATTGTACTTAATCCGTCTTATCGAATAATGAACGAATTCGCTAGATCAGGTCAATTTATTTAGCGAATACTAACTACAGTAACTAATTTCCATCACTCTATTACTAACATTAGAAGAAAGCTGCTACACATCAAAAAAGAAACGAACAAGCCGTCAATGGTTTAGAGTCGTCTACTGTTTTCATGTCTGAGGTTCGTATGAGAACATGTGGTCGAGTGAGACAATTAAAATGACAGTTTAATGGTAATGCATCAGATCTCGATGGAAACGCAACGCGCACTCGATTTTTGGGTTTATGAGGAAATTTAATTGAAGATAAATCACCCAGAGGAACCTAAAATAATAAGCTAAAGCAATATCCATAGCACTTCTTTATCATACGGACACTATTACTACTCATAATTATTCCAAACATCGAAATGTAAACTCCACAAAACCTACATTCTTTTATTACGATAAAATGAGCATACAATTTATACTGACCCAAATACATGGACCACTACACTGAATCTCACTACCTATAATTTCGAATAAAGACGAAAACCAAACCTCAACTGGTTTCCTGACCAGCCAAACATCATACTCATCCACAACATCCGAGTTACTCGAATTAATTTCGTTTGACAATGGCATTTCATTCCCCATCTGCATCCCATTATTAATCGAATTAGTATCAGATCTTGGTACTTCCTTCATGCTGATGAAAAAAAAAACTGTTCCAGAGATGAAAAAACGCAACAATGTTATACTTCATACAAAATATTAACACAACAAATTGTCATATTCAAAGAAAAAATATTGTTCAAAATAGAAGATCGAATAAAAACGACCATGCAAAATAAAATATACTATAGAAATCTTTAATTCATTTCGCATAATACAAATTCCTCGCCTCTGCAAAACTATCAAGAAAATGCAAACATTAAATCCATAACAATTATGTTTACATAAAATGGCCAAATTAAAACAATTAAAATTAGAGATCATAATAGTGAAATCAATAAGACGAAGCAAAACACAATCACTTAAAAACCATACTATTCACATAACATCAGCTTTTAATATGAAATGAAGGCCATTAAAGTGAATGAAAATCATTATAATTCATATTTTTGGAAACATTTAGAAACAGAGAAAAAAAAGACATCTGTAAGATGATTTGTTTTATGTTAAAAATTAACAATCCAATAAAAACAGGAAAACGATAAACAGTAATTGAATGGTAATTAAGCACAGAGGCTAATCTTGTTATGCTTTCAAAAATATTAATTATAATGGTTTTCATTCACTTTTAATGTTCTGGTCTGAATGAACAAAAAACTCATTAAACTAATGTTAAAATATAGAAAATATCAAATATTTTAACATTAGTTTTCTTCTGAAGAAAACTAATGTTAAAATATTTGATATTTTCTATTATAAAACGTTTTATCCATAATTTAATGCTGAACTGAGTTTTTTAATAAACATCTTTTTTTACGCAATTCTTCGATCCAAGATACGAATGGTTCTAAAGTGAATGAATTTCGTGTTGCTTCAAAAAACTCTTCCATCTCTGAAATCAATTTACATCAGAAGATAGCCAGTAAAAAGAAATATTTTACAATCTATTTTTATTCTCTTATACTCAATATACAGTTCTAAATGTCCAAATATTAATAATTACTTTAAGATTTTACAGTACACAATATAATGTTTAGTTTTCTGAACAAAAATACACCAAATTACTTATTTTATACGGGAATATTTTATAATATATGAATGCTACACAATTTAGGCAATGAACGACACATAGCATAATATGAAATGATGCAAATAATAATGGCTTGAATTGTTTCTAAAAGTTAATCTCACTGATTGAAAGATGTTTCAACCAACTTTGCATTTCAAATAAAACAAAACACCAGGCTTACCAATGCCATATTTTTGCTCATAATGAAAAGCTTGAGCAACCATGTCAAATTCATCTAAATGCTTTACAATTATTGCTTCTTTTGTCTGACGTTCTTCATATTCTTGCCACAGAGAATACCAATCTGAGCCTACTGATAATGGCACCATCTTCGAAATTTGCTCCATAGCCTTTTATTAATTAATTTGAATTTAAGAATTATAGATGAATGGCTTACTTAATTCCTTCATTTTCTCAAGCACAAAAAGTAGATCACTTAGTTGCACCTAAAGTCTAATATCCTAGTAAATTTTGCATGCCATAATAATGAAATATAAAAAAATTTTAGCCAGTAAATTTTTTCTATTTTAGAACTACTTTACATCTTTCTCCAATCGATGCTTTTCAGTAGATGAAACTCCACAATGGGGGGTGATATCACCTATAATTGCTTCACCTAAGTCATGTACTAATGCCATCTTAATACACTTTATTTGATCGCATGTCTTGTCATCTAAAACCATTGCAAACATTGCCATACGGTACATATGGCTAGCTACCGTTTCTGGTTCTGGAATCTGCAAATAATAACTATTAATTTTGAGATGCTCATTACATAACTTAAGAAGTTCAAGAGCCAAATTATAATAAATTTAAACAGAAATTAAACTAACATTGAATTTCACCCATCCAGTCCTTTTCAAGTGTTTGAGATCATTTAGCGTATTTAAGAGCTTGAAAATATCAGTAGTATTCATTCCATCCACATTCATAGCTCCAGATTCTTAAAAATCGAACAGATATTGAATTAAACTTATCTGATTCACACAGAGTAAACAATACTATTCGCTTAAATCCGATGACAAAAAACTGCTACTTGAATTAAGCGACATACAGTTTAGCTTCTGCACTTTTTCGATTTTGTTTTTGTACTTGTTAAATCACGATGACATTGACACGATGAAAATTACTGAACTCGTTAGACACATTCCTCATGATAATGTACTGGTATTTGGATGTTTTTTTGATTGTTCATAGGTGTGGATTTGGTTTCGTCTTTGAAATTTGTTTGTTGTGTGGTTAGCATGAATGAATATTGAACAAATCAATAAATCAAGTGTATGAGTATGCAATTTTTCTCATGATAATACAGTCGTATCAGTATTTTGTAATACTACCGTAGTAAATCGATAAAATTGGCTATAAATTTTGAATAAGATAAAAATTATTTCAACACTATCGATCAAAGATTATTTATTCATTTTTATTGATTGTGATTTCTCATTTTTTATTATAGTTTGTTTTTTAGATTCATTCCTTTCATTGTAATGTTGGAGATCAAATAAAGCACTGATTTTTACGTTCGTTGGCTTCAATGGCACCACCAATAAAGAAACGAAGAAAAGCAATACGAATAGCATTTGATGAAGAAAAAGTTAATTTACCTGGTATTTCCATTTATATTGCCTTAGTTTTATTCTGTTGGAAAACTGTTAAAAAAGTTTCAGTGTAATTAACACCTAAAAACAAGCAGTTAATGTTTGTGATTAATATTTGTATTACAATTCAAAAATTGAATTGTAATACAAGTTTTCGAGTTTCTTTTTTTTTAGATGAAACTGATTTCAAGGAAAGCAGCATGTGGAAAGTTCATCTGGAAAATATCAGGCGGATGAGAAGTGATCAAGATGCTCCGGTGGACATTGTGGGTTGTCATATGTTAGCTGATGCTCTTGCTGAACCAAAGGTTTATTAACTGCATATATTTTATTGAGCTCTATTGAATAACTTTTATTTTTGGTAGAAATTTTTTTCAATATATAAGTACAAAGTGAGGTATTTTTATCATATAATCTTTTTGACAAATAGTTGTTAATAACACCAGACAGTCTAGCATAATGTACTGAAAGATTTTCCTTTTTTATGACGAACCTCTCATCATTTTTTTATTTTAATGAATTTTGATTTCGAGATTAAAAATGAGTTCAGAAAATTGAAATGAGTTCAAAAAATTATAATGAGTTCAGATAATTGTTCAATTTTTTGAATCTAAACTCAATAAAATATTAAAATTAATTGAACTGTGCAGTACTTTTTGAAATAAAATACGAAAACAGTGTGCAGGATGTATGCACTAAAACTAGCTCAGAAATAGGGAGGAAAAAATGAATTTGTTGCTTAATTGACTAAAAATGCAATAAATGTGGTAAAAAAAAATATAAAAAGAGATGACAAAATGAGGTCATTTGGTAGCACACATCCGTTCCATGTAAAGATAAAAACTTAAGCGATTTTAATTTTGGTGGCAAGACATTTTTTCACGTAATATTTAACTTAAATATAATTTTATTTTCAGATATTTCGCTTTCAAACACTGTTATCGTTAATGTTATCCAGTCAAACGAAAGATCATGTGACAGCTGCGGCCATGCATGTAAGTAGCGACATAAATATTGTATTAAACTCTTTATAGGTACACTAGTAGTATGCTCCTTTACAAAGACGTTCCCATATAATGAAGGAAAGAAATGAAACCAAATTTTCTTTTTACCTTTTATTTTCTGATGAATCTCAGATGAGAGTATCAGATACTTATCTCAGATAAGTACTAGTCACCTTATTTCACTTTTCAGACGTTATCTCTAATTAACAATCATTTTATTAAATTGAAGTTGGTGTGAAATTGAGCTATTTTTGACCAAAGCTGTTGATAAATAGGTTTGAATTTCTTGCTGTTTTGACCTGAAAATAAATTTGTTGAGATAGTGTATAAAGACATTAATGGACCATAAATTTGTAGCGTTTACGACAACATGGATGTACTGTTGATGATATGATTAAAATTCCAAAAGAAGAGCTTGAACAACTACTCATTCCAGTTGGTTTTTACAAGGTAAATTAATATTTGTGATGAACATAATAACTTTAAAAAATCTGAAGTGCGGTGAGTTCTGTTGATACATTTGTCATAAATAGAAACAAATATTCATAGATAAAGATCATTATTGGGATCAGTTCTAGTATAAAACAGTATTTTATTTGCATGTCATAGAAATGCATTCCACCAAGAAAAATTTATATCTTTAACTCAAATCAAGTTAATTTTCCAATCCTTCTGTTACATGGCGTGGTTTTCGAGAAATAAACCAAAAATAGATCTCTTGTTATTCCAGAGGAAAGCTGTGTATATCAAGAAGGTGGCTGAGATTTTGAAGGAAAGTTATGACTATGACATACCAGATACGGTGGAAGGCCTTTGCTCATTACCTGGTGTAGGTGAGAAAATGGCATATCTTGCCATGCACTGTGCTTGGGAAAAAATGGAAGGGTTAGGTGTTGATACACATGTTCATCGTATTAGCAACAGACTTGGATGGGTATGTATTTGAAATTTTTTCATTTCGAAAAAATTCTTTATTGAATTTATATAAATCAACTAGTATAGTATTAATGTTAATGAGACTATCCAAATGGAACTTGCACATTGCAACTTACTGTCCTTTTAGTATTTTCTTACTGTTTTTTTTATGAATTATAGATCTTGTCGTAGACTAGTTCTGAAATATTGCTAGTTTTGATGCTGGCTGAAATTCATCTTTTCAGATCAAAACGACAAATCCTAAACAAACTCGGTTAGCTTTGGAAGCACTGGTACCACGAGAACAGTGGCAAGATCTGAACAAGTTGTTAGTTGGATTTGGACAACAAACATGTTTGCCGGTTTTACCCAAATGTTCCAAGTGTCTTAATAGAGATATATGTGCAGCTGTAGGAGTCAAAAAAAAACGTTGAGAACATAATTTGATTGAACTCTTTTCACTCAAAGTGTTGTCGACTTCTAGATCTCGTTCTGTAAATAATTTAAATGTGGTCCAATATTTTGAATGTATTCCGAATCTTAAAATAAGTAAACATAGTATACGCTTGTTCCTAGGTATTTGTGTCAACCAGATTGATATACATTTATTGAATTTGAATTTTGAATCTAGTATCTAGTAGTTTTTTTTAGATGAATCTTGACGTGATTATAAAAACACAAGTTAGATTTGAACAGACTATTATCTGATATAATCCTTTTCCACCATGGTGCAACATTTGATTGTATATGCAGTAATCATTACAACACATTATTTCAGTAATACAGAAGTTGTCCGGTTTATGATATACTTTGTTTTTGAAATTACAAATATGATAACAGATAAAATATATAACGATCAATTGCTCAACATGTGACAAAAACTTCAATAAAAACGGAATATTCAAATTCTTGTCACATATAAATACTAGCTCAACTTCTGACACTACAAAAAACTAATGAGCAACTAGGAGAGGCACTTGGAACTTATAACTGTTTACAAGTGATGTGTGAGTGAAACATGTGTAAAAACAAAACCTTTATCATAAGTCAAGATTAAATTCTGGTGAGCTGAAAATAGGGGTTAATTTATCCACCTTTGGTTTCCTAGGATGGTCGTAAAGTAGTTTGAATAAACCAGTGCCAATCGTCATTGGGGTGCCAAGAATAATGCACTCGCTTACACCAATTATTTTATCCTCTTGGGAGAAAAATGCCGCTTCAAACAAATGGTCTGCAGTTTTCTCGAATGAAGCTAGGAGTAGCACCGATTCTTTCATCTTAACCAAACCATTCCTTGTAATCCCCAGCACTTCACCTCTGGATTTAAAACATCAAGAAGCAAAGTTTTTGAAAGTGTTAAGATGTAGTGAAATGGTGTACAAAATACATAAAAGAGTGCTGCACTCACAAATTTTTCATGCCCATCTGGACATAAAAATTTTAATCCGCCAACTATTATTAAAATTTTTTAATAAAATTAGTATATTCAAAGTAACCTATAAGTCATTAAATCCGCCAACAGCATCACATGGCGCCTATCAAGGTCAATTCCGTGTGAGGCCATTGTAGCTAATATCTCCGATATGATAGAAGAACGAGCTGCTTCGATACCAAGAACCTAGGAAAGTTGAAATACAATTAGTTTGAATATGATTTAGTTCAGTAACAATGAAAACTTTTAAATGCCTAGTCAATGAAATCGAAGTACAAGTTATCAATGAAAAATGCAATAGTGGATTTTTTTTAAAATGATTCTAAAGAAACCTCAGCAACAGTAAGAGCGTTATTGAAATATGTTCGACAACCATCTACACCAACTGTAGCCATAACATCACGATAATCCGTACCCTCAACAATCAACTTATATGAATCTCCTTTTTTTTCGTCCGCATGAATGACACATCGTTTAACGTTGGGAAGACCTACACATTTCGAATAAAACATCAGAATACAAGAAAAGAACTTTGGACTACAAATAGCTGCAATCATTTACAATTTTACATAGTCTCCAGTTTTATTCCTCCCAGTTAATATACTATATTCCTTTTCTGTAAACAATATATTTAATCACATTCTTCTTGAAAGCTTCCTTACTAAACAAAGAAAAAAAAAAGTTCACCTTTCACTATAACATTATCGATGTTGTACTTTAAGTACTGAACAGCCATCATTTTAGAGCATTTAGCGACTTCTGGAGGACGAATAGTCATGATTGACTTTCCCAAAATTCTGATCTATAAATTATGAACATTATCGATCGCAAAGATTCTATACGCTCAGAAGAAAAGATGCCTATTAAGTATTTTTTTAAGGGTGAAACTACATTATACCATCTGTTGAATATTGAGAAGTTCAATCATATCTATCAATTCCGCGATAAAAATGCAACTCCTTTCGCTTAGAATCCTTTTGAAGAAGAAGGCATATTTTGATGAAAAAAAATTTCACCACGAACTTGAGATATCTTTACTGGAACTGGCAACTTCGAAGCACAAATAGAATGTGCAATTGAGGACATTGTTATTTCGAGTTGAAGAAGTCGTACACGCTTTGCATTGACCTTCAACAAAATGAAGCAATCGTCTGGTAGATAAACTTCTTCAATGTAATCACAAATTTCTCCTGTAAATACAAAAACAATATAAACAGAGAGAATTACTTATTATATAAACATTGAAAGTAATTAGTTTCTATTACATAACAAATTAGTACTATCAAAAGGTTCAGAAGGAAAGCAAGTCAAACCAAGCATTGTTTTCTCAATTCTTGCCTTTACTTTTCGTGCTAAATCCTCATCTTTATCATTTGTTAACGCAGCTGTAATTATTGGAGTTGATATCAACTTCACACCATTAATAATTTCCTTAATTCGCGGTACGCCCTGAAAGCAAATCGAATCTTACAATTAAGTGAACCTAAACATCATATTCACGTTTACAAGAACTGTCTTTTTATTAATAACTAAATTTAAAAACTTTAAAGTAGCGGGATAAATTTCTTAATACAAATTTAAGTCTGTTCAATCGTCAAAGAGAATACAACATTCTGATTTTAATAGAATTATGAACCATCATTACATCTTTGACCTGCAGCAATGATATCTAATTTAACGAAATATAAGCAGGAACCTGGGTAATATTCATTGAAGCGACACCAGCAAAATGAAAAGTTTTTAACGTCATTTGTGTTGATGGTTCACCTGAAAGTGAACAGTGATTGACATGAGCACGGAACATAAATCATAAACTTTTTTGAAACTCTTATACAATTGAAGAACTTACCTATACTTGTGGCTGCGATAGCACCTACTGCTGTACCAGGTTCACATATAGCTCGTTTTAATTTCTTCGCACAAAGTTCAACGAAAGCCAAAGCTTGTTCATGCGACAAGCAATGACATTTAATTTGAGTTTGGCGAAAAAAATTTTGATTCGTGCAGTTCTTACACTGGCTTTTCGATGCTAGCCTACAAAAAGGCAGATCATGCATAAAAACCCTGCATGCAACATAGAAAAAATTTGTTGACATTATCTTTTCCTTATGTTCACACGGTCAAAAAATAGCCTTTGATGATCATGAAGAAAAAAGAAACGCGGAATTTGACCAGTATCATTTCTAAAAGACTAATCAATTATGTTATTATCATGGTGAACTAAAAGCTATTTACTAACATGAAATAAACAATATAGTTTCATTCATACAATTAACTGTAACAGGGGGAATTCAGTAGACGCTTTAAAAGATTAAATGCCGCAAATCATTTAACCTAAACATCTACCGTTCATGTTTGGTGCATCTTTTCGAAAGCTTGTAATATTTTTCTGTCTTCTTTATGTACTCATTTATAAAAGACTGAAGCTGTTCTCGGAACATTAAGTTCTTTTTATTAATGTTCAAATCGATCGCATCCATTACCAAATTCTGCAGCTCTTCAGTTTCCAATTCTTTCTGTTCTATTACATGCCTGAATTTTATTTTGACAATTTTGCTCAAAATTATTCTTTCAGAGGATAAATATTTTTTGATAGCAGCTCTTTGCATAACTAATGAGATGAATTTAGCGATCGAAATGATGAAAACAAATAATGGCAATTTGAATGAATCAAGCTCATGAAAATCCTTTTTATAAGATTCTTAGCTAGCTTTTAAAAATTAACATACGGAACTGTGTTTCGAATATGCTCAAGAACATGTTTGAAGTCCACTACGCCACCATCCTTTGATTCCATTAATGCGGGATCTAAACCATCCTCACCAAATGTGAATTCAACTATATCACCAACGGATGAACGAACTGTACCATCGTAATTCACACAGAGATCCTAAAAAGGTTTTTAATGTCCATGGAAAAGCAATTATATCATGAAAAAAAACTGATGCTCATGTTATGATCTGTCTGCAGATACTTGATAAAATGCGTGCAAAGTATGCATAAATACTAGGACCGATAAAAGATGAACATACTTCAAGACATTTTACTAAGCGCCTTTGCATATACCCAGTTTCAGCAGTTTTTACTGCAGTATCAACAAGACCTTCACGGCCACCCATTGTATGGAAGAAAAATTCTGTAGGTGTTAAACCCGAATAAAAACTGTTCTCCACGAAACCCTTTGCAGCAGGTGTTTTTTGACGCCTTTCGAAATGTGGCAAAGAACGATCCTTGAATTAAGAGATATTTTTTTTGAAATTCGAAACCAAGAACTAATATTTAGAATATTACTAAATCTGTAATAGAAATCTGAATGTCTTGCAATGTTTCAGTTCTAAATTTCATTAATTTTCGGTGAAATTCTTTGTAAGAAAAGTGTGAAAAAATAAATCCCCCTCGTGGGTCTGAAAAGCAGCCTTTTGAATCATTGTTTGCGTAAGTTTATTCGATTACTGAAAATGATTATAATTCAAACACAAATAAAGGATTTCACTGCTTCAATATTATGTTTACAAACGAACATGTACCTCAAAACCATCAGGAGGCCTGTGTCCAGAAATAGCTTGCTGGCCTACACATGCGATCATCTGTGAAATATTAATGAATGAACCCTTCGAGCCACAAACCGCCATGGTAAGCGGTGCATTATGTCTGAATAAAATTACTTATTTAAATAACCAAATACTGAAGATATTCCAAACCATTGATTTTTTTAAAATTGAGCACAAAAAAAAACCTCGATAAATTTCGCAGACAAGCTTGACCAGCATGATCTCGAATAGCAGAAAGTTCTTTTAATATCAATGCTTCTAGCGTTTCATGTTCTGTGCAACCCGGCTGAGCTTTTAATCGCCCTTCTTTTAGACTTTGAATATACTCATCACAGACTTTATAACCTCTTCTTAACAATTCTGCTTTTTCTTTCAATAAAGAATCGCCTGGCCTCACATCACCTATTCCTTAAAAAATCAAATTAAATCAATGAATGACTAATGCACAAATTAACTACAAGCTAAACATATCAACCTCAACAGTTCACTAGGGAAGCTAATATGATTTCAATTAGAAAACCAAGCGATACCGATAGAAAATCCCCGATTACTAAGAAATACGGGTGCTATTCGAGCCAGTCGCCACATTGCATCTATAGCTGCATTTTCACCAAAATCACGTAAAAGTATGTAAAATATGTTTGTTTTACTGCCTGATCCCAACAAAGCTTTGTCTAGTACTCCACATATCAAAACACTGTTTCTAATAATTACATAGGAATCCTGAAACTCAATTACGATAAGTTAGACTGTCATAAACGGCAACAAACTTTGTCATTTTTACTGTTATTTAGCTCAAATTAATATGATCAGCAATCTATTATATTATCATAGATCAATCATTTATGTGTATATTTCAAGAAGCGTGATAGATAAACGTACCTTAACACAAAACTCTTCGTTCTTGGTATAACTTTTATTCTTTGTAGTCAGATTTAGCTTGATTTTCGAATCCATTTCTGGTCTTATAATGAGTTCTACTAACTGCAAAGTAGCGGTGAACAAATATCGAAAAGAATTATCACGTTAAAACGTTATCTAGATGTTATAAATTTGAGATAAATGAAACGTGGTTGTACACAAAAAATTAAAATAATATGGTGATATATAGTTCTTCCATTTTAAGATGAAATAAATGAAATAGGCAGTTTCACCTGTTTCCCGGTCCAAAGTTCTGCTGGCTTCAAGACTGCCGGAGGAGGTATTCTGATCTTGCTCTGCTTCTTTGCAGCTGCATCTATGATAGCAGCTGCAAAACGATGCACTTCTGAACGGGGAAAAAAACTGTCTTTGTGAGTTAAGAGATAACCTCCGGTGATGAAGTCCTGAAAATTTCAAGAAAAACTATAGTAGTAAGTGAGTATATACATGCATACATTTTTAAAAAATCTCGAATTGTATCATCTAATAGTCATTTCGATTAAACATTATTAGTAGCATTATAATTTAAACTTTTGCCACAAGAACCTGACTTTTGTGATTTCGAGTGCATAGCAAGCGAGACCTAAGGAAGATATACAAACCTGATGTAAAATAAAATCATTTTTAAAGATCTTAAGAGCTTCATTAAAGAGTTTGAAAAATTAAAAGCAATATGTAAAAAATGCACCTGTATAGCAGCAATGAGTGGCTCTCCTGACCTTGGTGTGACTAGATTGCTCTTAACACCCATCAATAAAGAAGCTTCAGCACGTGCCTCATACGTTTGTGGAACATGTAAGTTCATCTCATCCCCATCAAAATCAGCATTGTATGGAGTACATGCGCATTCATTGAATCTAAATCAATAAACTTGAATTCTTTAAAGGGATATTTGAGAATCCAAAAGTTTTCAAGTTTATTAGTACAAGTGAAATTAAAGCGGATTATTATTAAGTTATCTGAACAGATGTTTCAAGTAGAAAGCTAGATAATAATAAAACACGAATCCTAGATTTGAGAAGACAGAAACTATTTAAAAAAAAAAAAGAGAGACAGAGCAAATGAAATGTCAAATGTACACCTAAATGTCCGTCCAGGAACGATTCTCGCACGATGAGACATGATTGAAATTTTATGTAAAGATGGTTGTCGGTTGAAAAGAACGATGTCGTTGTCATCCAAATGACGCTCGACGGTATCTCCTACTTTTAACTGTGAAGCAATAGTTTCACGGTTGCCGTACCTGTTATCATAAGATACGCTATTTTAAATAATGACAACTGAAAATTTATGATATACTAGGAAATAAGCACTTCCTTCCCATGCTACAACAAAGGAAATAACAGGTTACTGTGAACTTAATGTGAAAACAAGTTAAGCTTCTAGATCCAAGATTTATGAGTCGCATTACTCAAACCTTAAAAATCGTTTATTGCCAGTATTTCGTTCTATAATATGATTAGCTCCAGGATGAGTATCAGCTCCATTCAAAATTAATTTATGCATTCTTTCCATATTTGTTGTATTCACAATTTCTGGAAATGTGAGAATCTTTGCAATATGTACAGGTACTCCAATTTCATCAATTTTTAAATTTGGATCCGGCGATATAACCTGAAAAACTGGTTAACACAAATTTAGAAAACTGGTTATACAAATTTACAAATTCACTTGAATTTCCCTTAATTTATTTGAACAATCGCGTTGCTTGAAAATGAGAGAACCTTTTCGAAACATGATCTTGTGATGTTGCTCAGCCAATAAACGGAAAAGTCTGAGAATTAATGAAAAAATGACTGTCTCTATATATTGATAATAATGCCTGATGAGAAGTCAGAAAAAAATTTTCTATAAAAGTAAGGGATCCTTTACCGTTCTTCCTGAGAAGTCAACTCGTTTTCCAGAAAGATTTCCTCTAAACCTGCCTTGTTTTCCTTTCAACCGCTGAGTGAATCCTCGCGTTGCTCGTTTAGGTTGCATATCAGGTGGCAATCCACTGAGTTCACTATTTATATACAAAGCACATTGTACCTGTAAAAACAGTATTAAACAGACAAAAATCTTAAAAACAATATTAAAATGCCTGTTTCACGACTGCAAACTATTACAAACCTATTTTTAAATGGCAACCTGAGAGAGCATATGAAAATAACAGCCTCGTTAAAAAAATATAAAGAAGACGTTACTATTACCTGCAAATGTTCCCAAGTTTCCGAAAAAGTTTTAACTGGTGACTTCTCGTTCTTGTGTTTTTTTATAACATCATTGATTAACATTATTTCAGAGAGTTTCATAGTAATGTCATCCTCAGTTGTGCCGGACTTTACCTATAAAAGAAACAAAGAAATCTATCACTTGTATTTCTCGCAATAAATAAATGATTCTCTTATTGAATTTTCAAAGGATCCATTTGAAGGAGTTGTACAAGATCTTCCTTAGTTTGACGCAAAGTTAATGCCGCAAAACAGAATTGAAGTTAATGCCGCAAAACAGAATTGAAATGATAAGAAATAACTAACTTCAGATACTACGGATGGTCGAATACAGCATGGAGGAACTGGGAGTCTCGTTAAAATGACATCTGTTGGATGTTTCGGTACATCGGCTGAACGTACCATTAAAAGTGGAATATCCTAGAAAATGAATTATTACAGCATATTTTGTAATACAAAAAAGAAAATAATTATGAACAATCATCTCTAAATTTTAATATTTAGTGCTCTATATATCAATGTTCGCTTTTAAAAACTCATATGGCAAAAAGCAAATGCAGAAACTTAAACAGCCTTGACCTTCACACGACATGGATTGTGTAAGATTCAAATTTACCTCTTTTTCCACTTTACTAAAGATAATCTGCACTTGGAGAGGATCCAAGAGAGTATATTTAGCTTTCGACAACAAATGTTGCAATTCTTTATCTTCTTCTGCTGCATAAAAATATTTAGAATAATCTTCTGCAGAAATCATCTCAGCATGTGCTATTTTCAGTACAGCACCAACAGCTTTTTTCACAACACCTAAACAAAATTTTCTCTTAAAACACTGAACATCGAAGAAAAGTTTCAAATTTTTATTTCACAGTATGCTTTGCATTATTGTTCTTTTCTATCATTTGGAATTGAATAAATTTTACTTAACAATATGAGTAATTTAATGTTTCTGTATTACGTCACACATACTATAAATATACGTCTGAAAACTAATAACATTTTAAATTTAAACTCTGCAAATAATTCGTTATGATTGAAACACTTACCATTTTTACGTCCACATCTACTACAAACGTTTATTTTTCTACTTACAGCCACAATACGCTTATGAAGTGCTTTTCGTCGTAAATAATCCATGTTTGGGTTGTTCACTTGACGAAGAAATGCTTTTTTTTGCTCATCATTAATCAGCATTGCAGAACAAAACTGGAAAGTGTTTCAACTTCAAATTTCCCTAGTGAATTTACTTCAATTTTGTTTAATATACTTATTAACCTACCGTTATGAATGACTGAAATTGGTATCACATTACTATTACAGTTCCAAAAAATTAAAAAGTAAACTCGAAATACGTACTTTACAAATACACTGCAACATTTGTATTGTTAATCGGAAAAAACCGACATGAAAAACAGGCTTTGCAAGATCTATGTAACCAAAATGACCAACGCAGTCGACCAAGTTTTGCTTACATGTTTGACAGTCTATGTGCTTCTGACAAGTACCCTGAAATAAAGTAAAAATCCAAAATCTCAAAGCTTGAAAAAAGGAAACTTATTAGTTTGTTGAAAACTTTTTGAAACTCAAATAAAACTTAAAATTGCTAAACAATATCAAAAAAAAAATTTTAATTTGAAGCGCTGAATTGTGATGAACAGGAATTATAAGGGAAATTCATAATCACTGCACAAAAATTATTAAGTGAAGAAGTAAGCTTAAATATATTGTTACATCTGATAAATTACATACACTTGAAAATGAAGAATAATAGCAAGAAACCAGATATCGCTTTTATTTGGAATGTGAACGATAAAAGTGTCTGAAAGCAGTAATTTTTTAGGATTTCATATCTGAGAATCCATTCTTCGTAAAAACAACTAGAAATATTTCTTACTGAAGTATAAATACTTACCAAGCGCGGGTCGAGTGGTCCATATTTGACTGGAATCCAATGACCAGGGTTTTCGTCATACAATTTACTATTAAAGACTGGAGTATGAGCAGCTTGTTTCATTGACTCAGCATCTCCAGCTGTAAACTGCACCCGACTTCTGAAATCAAATAAACTACAATGCAATAACTTCTGAAGCCGAATGAAGTATTAGGCAATATTACAAAACAAAAGTCGATTAACAAATGAGTCTAAGAACAAAATTAAATTGAATAGCTGAAAAATGAACTAACACTTTACGTGCCAAATCTGATTCACGATACTGCTCTTTAGTCATTGTATTCGTGATAAATTTCAAAATTCTGAAAACCATTCACGTAAAAATACCAACACTTCGAAAATTTTTAAAAATTAACACAAAATTAAGCTATAAAAAATAGTTTGTTTAAAAAAAGTTATCATAAACAAATAAAAACATTTCAAAATAAAATAATTTGTAATAGATATCACCGAAGAGCAATAATAAATGTTCAAATATTTTGTGATCTAATGCACCAACCCGACACATAATGACAACAGCACAGCCCTACTTACCTAATACAATATTGTATTAACTTTTAGTGCTGCAAATCTGCCTGTTCAGAATTACTGCTTACAAAACTCGCCAAGATTCTAGAACAACCTAAAGAACAATACTTGGTGTATGCTCAGAAAAGCCCGAACTGGATATTACCTTTTTTCCGTGGTATTCAACGGTTTTCCGATGTTATCACATCATAATTACGTAGACAAGAATCCAAATTCTATGTTTTTCTTTACTTTATTGTTTTCTCTGTGTAAAGTAATGAATTTAGAATTACTAGCTTACATTTTCAAACAAAAATAAACAACAAATTCTTTTGAAAATTTTTTCTGAAAATATGTAATAAACGGTAATGAATTAAAACACTTTTTACTCACTTAAGTCCGTCATTTTTTAACGTTTATCACTTATCAATGCTTAAATTAAAGTTCTAAAAATTTTCGTACTGCAAAACTTGATCAAATAATTGCTTTAATTTGATTAAGTTTTGATTAATTAAATATACATAAATGACATTGATTTCTTACACTCATTATTTTCTATTCCACATTATTATCAATTTTTGATTGATTCTTTCCATGAAAAATGATATATTTAATTCTGAGTCATTACTTTATGTTAGCATCTGCATGTATGGTGGTTAAAATTTGCATATTTAAGTAGTCAACAGTACCTGTAAATTTAATATTGGGTATTCGAGCATAATTGAAACTATGCTTTTGTTTCTACTATTTTTTTGTAATATATTTACTTAAGCGAAATTACTTTACAGTAAATATTTCATATCCAAGCGAATTTGCGATGAATTAGAAGCGTAATATTGTTGAGACGTAGTATTGATGTTATGTACTTCGCAGGAACTTTACAACATTATTGTGGAAAATGGACACAAATATAGGAAATGTAAGCAGTACATTGCCAACATCAAATGACAACCAGAAAACAACCGCACCAAATGGTGCTAATTATGCGAGCACAACAAATTCTGCATCTTCGGTAAAAGATGTTTCATGTGTAGGAAAAATAAAGACAAAAATATAATTATTGTATGTTTTATAGCGTTATGTATTTGCACTTTATTGTATAGATTCCGAATTACGATGTCAAATATATTCTCTCGGGTCACACGAAAGCTGTCTCTTCAGTTAAATTCAGTGCAGATGGATTTTTGCTTGCTAGCTCAAGTGCGGATAAAACAATAAAAATATGGAACACGCAAGATGGTAAAATCGAAAAGACTATTACTGGTCATAAGCTTGGAATCTCAGATATTTGCTGGTCTTCTGATCACAGACTGATAACGTCATGTTCAGATGATAAGACATTGAAAATATGGGATGTTATGAATGTATGTTTTATCTAATAACAACTTTTATTGGTCAAATAATAAAAAAAATGACTGAAATCAAGGTTATTTTCTTGCAGTATCTATTAAAGTGTTATATATTGATTATGCGTACGTAAGAAAATGATAAAGATTTTTTGTATTAGTATGTAGATATTTTGGATTTTTAAAAATTTTATGAAGCTAACAAATTAAGGAACAGTGGTCTTATATCGTGTATTCATTGCAGTCTCTTAGACATAAATCTTTGATTATGTTATGGTTTTGCAGAACAAATGCCTTAAAACATTAAAAGGTCATAGCAATTATGTTTTCTGTTGCAATTTTAACCCTCAGTCGTCTCTGGTTGTATCAGGTTCATTTGATGAAAGTGTTCGAGTTTGGGATGTAAAAACAGGTTCCTGCATCAAAACCCTTCCTGCTCATTCCGATCCTGTTTCTGCAGTTTCTTTTAACAGGTTTTTTTCCTTCTTTATGCAGTAATAATTCAGCTTTTCTCAACTTTTCATTTATATACTAATAAATCCTGTAGAAAAGTATGTCGAATGATCGTGTTTATATAACCTCTATGTGATATTTAGATTAGATTAGATTATATATATATATATAAACACGAATAGTCGATGTATATATATATGTATATACCTGCATGTTTAGAGAGAGAGCACCTGCCAAGAAATGAGCTAAGACATGGGCTTGACAGCGTCGAACAAAGAAGTAAGCTTATGCTTCTCCAGCTTCATAGTGCCATATTTATATCCATTAAGAGGGTGGTGAATCTGAAGCAAAAGAGAGCTCATTACACGGGCTTAGCGAATATTGTACCTTATGTCAAAACTAGATACAGTTTATTAGACTTCCAACCACTAAAACCTCTCATCGGTCCAGAAATTGCTCTTGTGTAGGGAGATGAAAAAGAAAGAAGTAGAGTAATGAGTTAGCCTCAGCGGCCGATTCTTCAATGTGGATACGACGCACAGATCCTCTTGGCTTGACGAGATAAAGCATGTTACTATTATCTCCAGGATGAGAGTGTGGAACACTAAAAAGTATGCACCCACATTGTAGAGAGCCTTTTAATACGGTTGGCCGTCTGAGAATGCAGTGTAAGGAAATGCTATATCATAGCTATATTGGGAAGCACAATGGAATGCTGCAATTCATCTATCTGAGACTCTGCAAAAAGTATGGTTTGAAAGCATTCCCACATATGCGAAGTCATTCCGTTCAGGAGATAGTCTGAAATGAGAACGTGGAGATGAGTTGATACGCGAGTAAGAACATCGATTAGAATAAGTGAGAATTGACAGAACGTCCTGGTTCACAATAGGAAACGATAGAGATTAGCATCACTAGTCAGAACATGTTGAATGCAATCGAGACCGAGGCGAAAGTATGAAAAGAAATCAGTGTATCTTATGTCGTGGCACATATTCTAGTCGATAGCGCTCAAGAAAATACTCGAGAGGAGTTGATTTTATCACTGCCATGTATTCGAGAAGATGAAGCAGCGAAGATCAGCACAGTATACAAGCGCATAGCGAGTGCAACAAGACATGATCCAGCGCTGGAATCAGTGATAAAAAAAAAGAAGACTAATCTTCTACGTGTGGTGTTGTTTGTTTATTTACGAAGTTATATATACATATATATAATTTTTCAACCTTTATCGCAATCAATTGATTGTCTTCAGGGATGGAACTCTAATATGTTCGAGCAGTTATGATGGTCTCGTTCGAATTTGGGATACTGCAAACGGGCAGTGTGTTAAAACCCTTGTTGGTAAAAGCTGCTTTAATAGATTTGTTCAAAAACATGCCCGTTTCGTATTTTATTCTTTTGGATGATGGCTTAGAATTGGTAATCAAAAGTGATTGCAAATATTTGTTCATATTGAAGTTCTTGATCTTTGGATTTCAGATGACGATAATCCTCCTGTATCGTTTGTTAAGTTCTCGCCAAACGGCAAGTATATACTAGCTGCCACCCTAGACAGGTTTATTTACTATACTAAAAGTTTTTGTTTTATTGAAATTAAGTTACAATTTCACCTCATTTAATCAGTACTGGTCAACTACGTTTTTAAAAAAGGCCTTTGAAAACAAAGTGTATTAAATATTCAGTGGTTTGATTCGTTTAGTGAATCGATCTCGGATCTTGATATAATGTGATAAAATGGGATTTCAGTACACTAAAACTATGGGATTTCAACAAAGGGAAGTGTCTGAAAACCTACAGTGGACACAAGAATGAAAAATATTGCATCTTTGCAAATTTTTCTGTTACTGGTGGTAAGGTAATTAGTTTTACTTTGCGTTTTCGATTTTATTAATGGAAAGCTTTTAGTTAAATTGGCTTTTTTTGCTAAGGCTGAAGAGTTATTAATTTTTGTTCATCTTTTTTTTTTGAAATTTATTGCTGGTAATTATCACTTCAATCTTCTTTCGAATTATGGTTCGTGTTTAGTGGATAGTCAGTGGTTCGGAGGATAATCGTGTCTATATATGGAATTTACAAACTAAAGAAATCGTTCAAACACTTGAAGGGCATTCAGGTCCATAATCGTTTTATAACTTATGAGATGTTTTAAGTTTAATAGGTTGTTGCATGAAAAGCTTACTCTGTTATGCAGATTCGACTGGCTGCATTGTTGAGTACTTCTTTTCTTGATAAATATAAATGTAGTACCTGCTTTATCTTTCAAAAATTTCTGGAATAAATACTGATGCAGTTCATAGATTTCAGACGTTGTACTTTGCACTGACTGTCATCCCACACAAAATATTATTGCCTCAGCAGCACTCGAAAACGATCGAACAATTCGCTTGTGGAAATCTGACTTTTAATATTTTTTGGTGTCTGTGATATTATATCATTTTATTTTATAGCTACCAAATGTGTCTTTTCATAATTTTGCCCTCTCAGAAGTTCATTCATAAAGATTGTGTAATTATTCATGTAGTTAGCAAGTTGTATGAATGTCACTATTCTTTATTTAGGCAAGTTTTTAAAATTTTGTTAGCAGTGAATTGATATTTTGGCATTTTTTTTATATTTTAATGTATTTGGAGTGGACTTATATTTTGGCATATATTGTGATATTTTTTTAATTTCTAGTTCTCCGTATTATAAATGATTGCCCAATCAGAAAATGAAATTTTCATTTGCTGTCCTCACGTCCTTATAAACATGGGTTTGAAAATTGAATGCATCTATGAGTGTTAAATGCTCGTTTTTCCAATCTTTCATAAAATTAGTCAGGTATATTGTTTTAATTTTATGAATTGATTCTTGGCTAACCTTCTCAGTTCATGCTTGATACTCATTTTGTCTCGATTTTTTGCACACGTGAAGATAAATTTGAGTAGCTACAATTTGTGAATAAAATGTTGAACATGGCAGTAATGTTGTGATAGTATGATCAGTCGGAAATAAAAAAAATTAGTGGTGCATTTGTAAAGTGTGTGGGTAATGATCAGTCTTCTTGTTGCGTTAATGTAATGTGCGTATGTGCGTCATTGGCGTGTCCCTTATTTTATGTATGAACTTAGCTCGTATTTATTCAGAATATGGGGTTTGTTTTTTTTTGAAAGGGGAAGGAAATATTGAACAAGAAAAATTACGGCAATAAAGAGGAAGTACTTTCACTTCAATTAGTATTCATTTATTTTAGGTCTTCTTAAATATCGAGCAATTCCTCGTAAAACTTGCAATCGTTGTACACAGCTGGCATGTATTTTTCTCAAAATGTTCTGAAAGTGGCACTTTTTGAACAAGACTATAATAGTTCAAACATTTTTTTACCGATATATATAGTCAAGAAATGTTTTGGGCAAAATTCTGCTTGCAGAATTTTCACGTTTTGTATAAGCAGTTATACTTCAGATACGTTTAGATATGTGAGAGAGGCTTTTCATTAAAAAATATTCTCATATGTTGTGCAAAATTAAATTTATAAGTAATAAATTTTTTTGAAAGCATTTAGACATTAACTAACTCTCTGGTCATATCTTTTTTTTAACGTAAAGATTAGATGAAGTATAGTAATGCACACTGTAAGCATATTTTACAGTTTGCGTACATTTTGCATAAATTATCGTTTAAATATGCCGTAAAAAACTGCACCAACCGTAAAAATTTGCAAATTATGTGCTATTTTTCATTCATAAATACAGTACTTCCTTTTAATGTGATTATACATATCGCTATGATTATCATTTTTTTTAATCTCATTTATTTTTACCTTTATCAACAAGTTATCAAACAACTTTGCATATTTTTTACAAGTTATTAAATTGTTTTGCATATTTTTTTTGTACAAACATTAGAGTAATCTCAATTTCCAATACTATCTTATACTTTCATCTACATTTTTGCTTAAAATCTTATGAACTATAATTTGTAATATAATCTTCGCAGTTACTGAAAGTAAAGTTCAGTTTTCTATTATTCTTACAGTATTATTTAATATTTTACTGTCTTACAATTTTCAAATAATATTTTAAATTATTGCTAAGTAGTAAATGTACAAGATAGTTAATTTGATTTATTTAAGAAATCTAATTAACTTGTGCCTTTTAGTTGTTTTTATCTTATATCAGTGTTTGATTCTGATAAAAAAAAGTTATAAAATGTGCTTATTCTAGAACAGTTTATAATTTGATTTTATCAAACAATAATAACCATAACGAGATTAAGATAGTATTTATTATTTATTTATCTGTTTATTTATTTGTTTGCTTCTGTTCCAAAATTTCTAGCGTATTTTCCGGAGCGAAATTGCTTGCTTCTGATTGACCACTTGACGCTGCGGATTCCACGGACTCATCAACAACGCGATTTGTGTCCGTGTCTTCCATCTAAAAATGTCACAATTATTTTTCATTCATATTTGTTTATACTCTATAATTTGAAAATCAAATCTGAAAGAATTAAACTACTAAACAAATTGAAACTTTGAATATATTTCCACGTATGAATAATAATACTGATTAATAATAATAATAACATTAATAATAATAATAATAATAAACATAATAATAATAGCAATAATAATAATAGCAATATTACTTTGTCGATTTCGGCTTTAACATCTTTCTCGTTGTCGTGAGGAGTAACTGCATCTGACTTCAAGGCACCTCTGTCGTTCCACTCAAATGCGTCGGTCCTATTTTTCGATCACAAATTTGCATAATTTATTATTCATACCTTTATGCCATCAATACTTTTTGCAGTATCAATCACTTTTTAGTTTTATGCGTTTGTTTTACACTTTAAGATTTAGCATAATTTATAATTTCTTACAATAAAATTATTTTTAGTTGGACTATTTTGTCAAATATATCAAAATATTTAGCATAGAATAAAGTATTAACTATAAAATCTTATAAATGCTAAAAATCATTGTAAGTAATTTATGAAAATTAAAATTTTATAGCAAAAAAAAGTGAAAATTTCATTTTTATGAAAATAATTAATGAAATAAGCATAATTTTTTATTCCAATCAAATTATGTACTGGAAAATTGCATGCAAAAATTACGGTTTTGCTTTCAATTTGCTGAGTTCTTTAATAAATTTTGTTCGGAACATCTCGTAATGTGGCACATCAGCATAAGTTAGACTTTTTAAATGATTGTTTATTTCGGAAAAGCAATCCGGACATCCCTCAATATTTTTTAATTATTATATAAGCATATGCAGATTTTTGAAATATTTTAAAAGCTAGTTACCAATTAAAATATAGTGACGATGTAATATTTTATCAAATTATTAAAACTTACTGACAGTAATATTCGATCGTTAACTGTTTCTTTTGTATGACCACTGTCTCTCCGAGCCATACCTTTCCAAGGCAGCGTCGCTGAGATTAATTCAATTAACATATAAAACATGCCTACAAAACAAAATTTGCATATGCAAATTTTATACAGCAATTTGTAGAAAGGAATACTTGATACTTTTGATTGAGATAATAAGTAAATATTATTATTTGCTCAGAATTATAATTTAATTTAATTTAATTTTTGAAAATGCTTTTGTGCTAAATTGCTTTTCTTATCATATTAACATAAAGCTTCAAATAGCATTTAATATCAGCTATGTGAATTTGATATAAATTATTGTAATCATTTTAATATAAAGTAGTACTTATTACGAGTATGAATTATGCCGGCAAAAAGATTTTTTCTAATATTGTAAAATTTTAAACTTTTCGTAAATTAAAGCAGAAACTTTAAAATTAGACAGCATTTAAGGTTATGTTTATAGCATTCAATTTTTTTTGAATAAAAAAATTTTTGCATAAAAAATTTTTAAAAATAAAGAAATATTAAAAATTTTTGCTTTTTAAAAATCGTTATAAATTTTTTTAACGATAAAATATCAGATTCTCACTCCACAAATCATCGTGTCGTCCTTGTTCTTTGTAGCGATGAACATTTATAGAGCAGTAACGTACAGTTCCTCTGAATGATACCTATAATTAACTTTGTTTTTTATTATTTTAAGATTAATTTCAATAAAGTTCACAATATTGCTAAAGTATTTAATGATTTTTTTGCTTGAATAGTAATCTTTGCATAAAATTGAACTTAAAAAGATTCTGTAAAAAAATTTTAGATTCTGAATGTTTAACTTGTCAGTGATTTGCTCAAGTATAGCAATATTGAAAGTTGAAAATCACTGTAAGTTAAAGTGATGACTATTATTATGACTTTCAAATACAAATTTTACTCTCATATTTACGTATAAACGCTTAAGTTTCTTTCACAATACCTTTCATGAATTGTTTTGTTTAGATGTTTAAGAATGCTTCAGATCTTGAAATGTATTTCAAACTTAGAACTTTGTTATTTTTGAAATTTTCAGAATTTTTTAAAAGACAGAAATAATTCAGTCAGAATTATCGCTATAAATTCAACTATTGAAAGAAGAAATAAAATAATAAAATCATTTTTTGAATTTTATTATATGAATAATTAGGAGTGAAGCAACAATTAAAATCAAATTTTTTGAATTATAAATTTAAGAAAGTTTTGACTAAAATTACAATTTTCGGCTCAAAAATTTTCGCTTATGCAAAAGCTATTAACTTTGATTATTAATAAAAATTTATGGATTTTTTATGATTTAATTAATATAAATAATAATAGTTTTAGAATCTTTACAACCTTCTTTCTTGGTTCGCGCAATTTTAACTTTCCAGTTTTGTCAGGAAACATAATCTGTCGAGCAAGACCGAAATCAAACATAAAAACTGTATTTATTTTATCTTCTCGACCTATAGCGAAATTTGATGGTTTTATATCGCGATGAACGAAACCGATTTTGTGCAAATCGTAAATTGCCTCAAATTATATTACTAATAAAATTATTAAAAAATTTAAATTTATTCTTAATTAATATCTTAATTAATATAGCCATAATCTTAATTAATATAACCTTAATTTATTCTTGCATAATATCCATTAATTAATATCTTAATATAATCCTAATCAATATCGTAATTAATATCTAAACAAATATAACCTTAATTTATTCTTGCATAATATCCATATTCTTGACTAATATCTTAGTTGATATAATTAATATCCACAAACTTAATCAATTAAAATATCCATGCTTTTTATTCATTTTTTTTAATATTAAAAAAATTAATTATAATAACTTCTGTGGATTGTATTCCAATTTTTAAAACATTAACAGTTGACATTTTTCGATCTGGCAATCGCCTTCTGATATCTGATAATTCTTTTCCTAACAGTGACATTATCAAAAAACTGAAATCAGCAATTTTTAAACACTTGAATGTATTAATCCCAGTTAGCGATAATGTAATAACAATGATAATAATGATGATAATAATAATAATAATAATAGTGATAATAATAATAATAATAATAATAGTTTATTTTCACTTATCGATTGAACTGATTAATTATTGATAATATCGAAAATATTTATCTACGTTGTATCCAAATGTATCATCTATTTGATTTTGGATAAGTCTATTATCTGTTTTTCTAAGTAAGCTTCAATAAATCTAGTTTTGTCCGCATGTTCATCTAAGTTTTATATGTATTGACTTTAGCAAGAAGACTGTTTGTTCAATATGTTTTGTTGTTTTTATGAACTAATCAAGACTTACTGTTTTCAAAAGTCAGTCTATAAGTCAATCAATAAGGCTAGATTTATTGAAACTTAAAGTTAGATTAGTTGAGACTTAGAGCTGCATCAATTGGGGCTTACTTAGACATCAAGTGAGATGTTGAATCTCATCAAAGCCCTAACAAATATTTTCAAGGTTATCAGCAGTTGATCAGTTCAGTCGATAAGTGAATGTTCGTTTCGAAGGTCGTAGTTAAGTGTTGTGTACAAAATTTCTGAACACATTTACCCCATACATAATCTTTTACTTTGCTATTCTGAATACTTCATTAGAATATTCTAATAAAAACTACCATAACACGTAAATTAATGCGTTTTTTTTCCTATTCTCTAGGATAAAATGTGTGAAAAATTTATGCAAACAGTAATTTATTCACGTAAAAAGCAAATCTAACTAATGCTAAAAACGCTTCAATAATGTCTTTTAAGTATTATTTATTTATTAATAGTATTTTTATTTTATGGTTTAAAATTTGTGATATTGTTGCGAAGATTTTGTTGTGATCAAATGGTGAAGTTAAAGCTGAATGAATTTGAAAGTTACAAGTAAAAATTAATTTAGTAGATGAAAATTAACTATGAAGGATTTATAAATTTTCATTGCAATTTGATCATGATTTTTAATTATGATTTTAAGCAATTTATGATTTCGCATTATGATTTCATGGTTTTGTAGAATTATGATTTTTTGTATTTTTATGCTTTTTGATATTTTATACAATTTGCATTTTTTAAGTACAATTTTGAATTTTAAAAGGATACAAAAAATTTAATCATCGTTTCATATATCAAGTAGTATATCAGTTTCATCGCATGTTATTCATAAATATCAAAAACAATCTTTGAATTTTGAAAATTATAAAAATATGCTACTAAAAAATCTATGACTTTCCGATATTTTACATAATTAAATTAATAAATGAGTTTAAATTAAAAAATTGTTATTAAAGCATTCGTCATTAAAATTAATTTACTGCCAGTTAATTAAGTGCTTTGTGATTAAGATTAAATTTAATTATAATTTTAATTGATAAAATACAAATTAATTGCATACGTATTGACTTAGTAACTGCTTCTGAATAATTAAATTGTATCTAAAAGTTTTTTTTTTTAATTTCGCGGTTGATTTAAGAATTATGTATGAAATTCATTAAAACTGAAGTTTAATTATCGTTATGAATATATTATAAATGCTTAAAATCCAGCATGAACATTAGAATTCATTCGAAATTAATTAATTTATTAAGAATCGTTTTCTTTAAGAGAATGATTATAAGGAAAATCTTAGTTTGTTAATTAATAACTTCAAAACTGATTAGTTAGATTATTCGAATGTTGACAACAACAGTATGCAAATTTTCTCACTACAAATAACATAAAGATAAAATGTTTGATCTTAAATTTGCAATAATAATGACAAACGAAATTGGAAATGATTAATAATATTATTTAAATTAATTAAATAATTAAAAAATTTTAAGTGATCATAAGTAAAGATTAAGAAGTACCTATAAGATGCTGTTTTGCCAGCAGCTAATAATCGACAAACATGTTTTGATCGTTGCATTTTTTTCAATACAAATACTTCCATTTTTAAAATCTCGTCATCTTTTGACTTCATAAACGGTTCTACTTTCATTGCGGATCTCTAAAATTATAAACTTAACACTTTATAATTGTTATTATTATTTTTTGAAGTAATTTATTCATTGAACATAACTTTTATGTATTCAATAATAGCACTACAATAAAGCATTATTAACTGCGAAATCAGTACAACGTTGTTCAGGTATTACACGTGATTTACGCTGCTAAACGTTTATCTGTGTTTCTGCATGAAAATTTTAGGAAAAAAAAATTTGACCTTAGAATCCTTTATATTCAATACTTGATATACCATGCCACATGAACCTTCGCCAAGTTTTTTTTTTACCAGAAACTGATCCTTTATCTTATCACCCAGGCTGATTTTCGGAGGACCAACTGGAGTACCCATGACCTTCATAATCATTACTTATTACTTATTTACATAGGTTCTTTATAAATTGTATTACCATAAGTTAATTAATTAACATCACTGATTTTATCATAAATTTTACGTAATTTTCAAATTTTGTCTTTTTTTCTGAATTAGTAAACAAAATATTGAAAAAAAACCAAAGATATTATCTGTGATTTTATTACGATTTAGTGCAGAAAGGAACAAAATATTTGGAACTATGTTCAAAATCGTTGTGAATTTTAATTAATTAAGCTTACTGTTGTACATTTACAAGAAATGAAATTCAACTTGATGCAAAATCTTTAATTTCAGTAAACATTTATCACGACTGCAAGCAGCTTTTAGGTTTTCATACACTTAGCAAAATAAATTTAATAATTGAAAATTCAATTTTATTTGAAATTAATAATTTCAGAAGAAATTTAATTCAAAATTTTCAGTAAATTAGCTTTTATTTTCTAAATAGTATGACGAATAAAATGATATTTTTGAGCTTAAATAGAAAGTAAATGAAAAAAGTAATACATGAATGAAAATTAAATGGGCTTACTTTAAAAAAGAGTAAAAGAATAGATAAGTTATAACTTTGCTAAGAAATACAAAAGCAAATGACCGTTAACATTCGCTTCACTATTTTATTGTAATCCAAATTGCATATTTAACTACAAAATTTGCATAATATGCTAATTTGTTAGCTATTTTAGCTGCGCAAATTACTTTTATCTACTTATCATCCAATAAATATCATATGACCATAAGCAAATTACTAAATTATATTGCATGTAAATGCTAATATTAATGATATGAGATATTAAAATTTTCCCTAGTAATATTATGCAAAGTTTTTAACAGAAAAGCAAAAAAAAAAAAAATCAAAACAGCCAAATGCTTGTATTTTTGTGATAAAAATGACCCAGGATGGATATTTAATTGAGTAAAAATTTATTTACTTGGCTAGACTAATTATTTTTTCACAGACTAATTAGTTTTTCTTGGCTCATTTGAAGGCGGAAATTAATTCGATTCAGGCTTATATCAATAATTTTCATAGCCATATATGGTAATTTGTGCACAATTATTTTCTCGAAAGTGGAATTGTTCCACTTTCACCTTCGACCTTTTAAAGTTGAAAAAAAGTTTCAGATCAATTAATAAGCTAAAAACCGATAAATTCAGTTTGAACAAAATATGTTTTGTTATTCTACAAAATGCTGTTCAATATTCATGTATGCAAGGCAACGATTGCATGAATCATTCCATTTTAGCGATATTTTTCTCAGAAACAAACCAATCACTGATTCATCTTGTTATTGTATTAGTAAGACATTTTCAGTTCAGTCAGGTCAAGAAAAGTCCACACTAAGTAAGTTAAGGTTGAAAGAGGCCATTTTAGATAATATATGTCCACACAAAATAGGCCCAGAACAGGCCAAGGCGAAGAAAATAAAGCTAAGAGAGGCCAAGTCCATCGAGAGTCCTAGGCGAGCTAGGCAGAGCAAAGAGCTTGACTGGTCTCAGAAGTGAAGTGTTCTTAATACTGCATTACTCATCATATCACTTTTTTTATCGATTTGGCCTGGCCACCAGTCAGAATTTTTATCCAACTTACTTTCTGACCACTGTTTTGGTCAATTTTTGCCTAGCCTTGGCTACTTTCCATATTTATTTTGAGGCCTGACTCTTATAGCTCTCCAACTCAACCACTGTCTCTTTCATCTACAACTATCGCTATATTTCTATTTGAGCGAGCATCACTCCTCTCCTCAGCTCTAACTCCTCGTATTTATGGACTATGCTACTAATTCTTGGCTACTGACCAAGCCTTGGTCTCTAGTACAAACCAAGACTCTGTCAGAAACAGGACAAGGGGGTTCGATGAGTCACGAGAGATTCAGAGAGAGGGAGGAATGAGTCATCACGGCACTCCTTAGCTCACATCCTTGCTTATCTCACAAGAAAATCATCCATTTCTACTTGCCATTCTCCTTTCCTTCTCTGCCTCTCTGCATGGTGCATCCACACTTTTTATCTTTTTCGCTTGTTATTGATTTTGTCACTTTCCCTTTTCTCTTTCACTTTCTTCTTTCACTAGCGTTTCTGCGTGAGTATTTCCAGTAATTTTGCAATCTAAATCAGTCAGTTAAACGTTGTGTTCACGTTGTCTGCTAGACGTATTGTTTATTTTGGTTGCTAGCATTCATTATTACAAACCAACTTCTGTTCCATAAAATTCTCTTATTGTATTTTATTTCTCTTTAGTAACGGACTACGTGAGGTCAAATTCATTGTTTTTACTTACGTTACCTGCGATCTTATCCTCTATTCTTTTTTTATACTTCCTTAAATAATATTAGTGTGAAATAACGACTTATCTAATTGTTTAATCTAAAAGTATTGCTGTCCGTGAAGTGATTATTTGAATATTGAAAATTGTGATCAGCGACTCTATTTTTTTTAAATTTTATTTTATATAGGGATAATTACTTTTTTCACTTTGAAACCTACTCTTACGTGAGGCAAATTATATTTGGTAAGTAGTATACTTACCAGCAATGAGTAAGAGTTGTTTAAAATGTTTCTTTACGAAGTTTTTGTTTTTGAGCACGTGATATGAATTAATTGAAGGTATGCATAAATAATAGGCACTTTACACTAAACGTTATTTTAAAAAAATTGTACAAAGAATGACGGATGACGGACTAGAAGATACAGTATGAAAGTATTGTTAATTAGATTAGTAGTCTGAGATGAACAAATTACTCTGCTTATTTCGTGTAATGTTTTATTCATTTCGTGTGAAGGATAGAACTTATGCAGCCTTCTAAACGTATTTCTAAAGGCCGAGAATTTGTTTTTTATTATCTGTGTCATTAAAATAATTGCATTTTGTTTAAAAAATAAATTTAACAGTCAATTAATTAAAATTGTTTACTGCATATCGAATTTTCGTAATGTATAGATTTACACGAAAGTTTGAATACAAATTTGTTGAAATAGCTCGGATATTCACTTGTTTTGAAATGTTCTCATTAAAGTTTGAAACTTTTTGCAAATTGTTGAAAAGGTTCAATTATTTCGTCCATTAATTCTTTATTGCACTGCAATGACCTTTATAATTGTGCAATACTTATCGAATATGCATTGGTGACGTTTCGAAAATTTTCTCGCTTTTCTATCTATCAAATGGTTTGGTGAATTTTATGGTTATAGTGTCGTAACATTTGATGGGCAACAGTCTACAAGACAATGACTACATCCGCTACGGCAAACTGGGCCGATTTATGGGTACAAAAAATTCATTGTAAAAATTGGAGTAACAAAGTACAGATAGTGTTTATATATATTTCCTTCAAGGTCAACAAATAATCAGTTTTGAGCCTTATCTCATAAAACTATGATTAATGAGGGATAAAATTAAAACAGAGTTTTTTTAAGTTTATGAAGCCATTTAGAAGCAGTGCATTTTAGGATCAAGTAGACATTTTGGCTTCTCATACACAGAAAGGTATCGAAAATTTAGAGAAGTATGGTATGTTTCTGAAAGAACGAGCAGCTATTGAAGATGAATATGCATCAAAATTAAGGTATCTTGTATTTTGAGCCACATTATTTATTTAATTCAGAATTGGTTGGAGGCTTTCCGAAGCTGAAGATTCATTAATTGATTATGAAAAAGACGTTTAAATTACTTTTGATATTTTTTACTTGCAGGGCACTAGTCAAAAAGAATTTAGGAAAGAAAAAGGAAGAAGAAGAAGCGGCAAAGACTTATACATTTATTAGTTCGTTCCATTCCATGTTACATGAAATTGAAAGTCTTGCCGGACAACATGAGGTTAGTTTATGTTTATGAAACATTTCTGTTTTAAATTATTAAAAATTTTCCACATTTTACTGTAAAACAAAGATATTTCGCTTAAAATCAGAATCATTTAAATGAGCATCAGGCATTAAAGGTGAATATTTCGTAATAAACTGTGTTTGTTGTCTTATAGTTTTACGCTGTATCACAAATTGTAATGTTTCAGATAATTGCGGAAGGTTTTCGTAAAGACATTCATCCAGCTTTATTGACAAAATGTGCTGCTCTTCGTACTGCACGTAAAAATCATTTGAATGAGCTGCATATTATTAATGGTGTTCTGAATGCCTCCATCGATAACATGATAAAATTTCAAAAGAATTACTGGTATATTTTCTGTTTTTATTGTCATAATTTTTCGCTCATATCACTGTGATTTCAATTCGCGGAATTCCCATTGTTCATTTGGACATGGATTTGCTATGAACTTGATAACATGGCACAATTTCATAGCACTGAATTCTGAAGTATTAAGGATGTAAATTCTTTATATTATAGTTTCTACATAATTTTTATACTACATTTATGTGGTAAAACAGTGTAGGAAGTAATACATATCAAGTTTTTTGATTGAGAATCAAATGATATAGTGATGATTAGAGAATCACAGTGCCTGAATTCAATGCAAATGTAAAAATATTGTTTCCATGTTTCATTGATAAGAAATTTATTGTAGCAAAGCGTTCAGAGATGCTGAAGTAGCTCATTTGAAGTACGATAAAGCGGAAAAAAATATGGATTTATCTCGAGCAGATTTGGAAAAAGCTAAGAACAATGCGATGCAGAGAACACAGATGTGTGAAGATGCAAAACAAAATTATGCACATTCACTTCAGGCTGCAAATCAACAGCAGCATCAGCATTATAACCATTTGTTACCACAGATTTTGGAAGTTAGAAAAATAATGATATTTTTCATATTTCAAATTATTGATTTTATCTTTTATTTCCAAATTATAGATGGCAAGAAAATTGGCATCTAGTTTCTGCCTTTAAAAAAAATCATTTTTAATATTAGTTATATGTGTATCTAATTATGTATCTAATTTCCATGAAAAAGATATAACATTTCTAGTCGGCTGCAACTTTGAATCATTTAATTTTGTAGATTTTATTTTGCTGCTACATTACGTATGTTAATACTAAATAAATGTGTGAAATTGCAGCGCTTAAGGACTGTAGATGAAGAAAGGATAAATGAAACTAAATTACTGATGTTACAAAGTATTGAAGCAGAAACTAAAGTGATGACTATAATCCAACGATGCTACGAAGATATGAACAATGCTGCTCTGTCAATTTCACCAGTAAATGATACTGCCATTGTTGTCGAACAATATCGGTTTGTTCTTGTGTATTAATTCAGTTACAGTTTCAAGAATTACTTATGACCACAATTGCGTTTGAGTTATTCGAAAGTTTAGTGTATTGTTATGCATCTTGGAACATGTGTTAATTTATTAAACTGAAGCCGTGACAGTGTTGAGAAAATGGCCCAGTTAGAATAGCATTCTTAGAAATAATTTGCGGGAATAACTGAATCATTCTTTATTTATATTAAATATTTTATTATTTCGTCTGTGGTCATTTTTGATATTTTTTGTTTTTTCAAGGTTTGTACTTCATATTTGCTCGAAGTTTATTCCAAAAACGACTTAATTTGTCCAGCTCTAAAAAAATTTTCTGCTTCAAAAATAGATCTATGTCATGAAGTTCAGGAAATAGAGGTCAACAAAAGATATCTTCCAAATTATTATACGGCTTTTCAGATCAGGTTATGCTCATCCTCAACCGTTTCCATTTGAGGACTTCGGATCACCATCAGCAGTTGTTAATGGTGAGGGTTCAAGTGGTATGGACACAATAAAAAAACCAACAAAAAACGGGTCGATGGTTCGAATTAATCGGAAACCGAGTATGGGACTTTTTCGAAGCAGCAATCAAACAAGAAAGGTTTTCTTAGCATTTGTATCTTTTGTAGGAACTAATTTTTTTCTAACCAAAGTATTGTGCTTGCTTTACCTTCTTGACATTCATGATGTATTTAGGATGGTACTAGTGATTTTCGCTCATTTCCTCCACAACAAAGATGTCGCAGATTGCAGCAAGAAATTGAAACTATTGAAAAGGAGATTGCCAAAAATCAACAAAGTCGTGAGGGTGCTGCAAAAATGTTACAAGTTTATAAGTATGTGATAAGTTTTAATCGCATATTCACCTTTTTGACAGCACATATATTTGCTATTTGTATTGGGTTTTAATAAGTGTAACTTTTTCGTATGAGGTATTAGTTATATAGTATTAATTAGATTCATTATAAAATTTGCGTGATTGTAACACGATTCCCTTTATTATTGTCATCGAAAAAATATCCTTAATTCATTTAACATATGTAGTGGCGTAATGTTAGTCTTCATAATTTGGCATGTTATTAACTGAGAGATACCAAGTTATTTAAGTAACGTTTGTTTTTTGAAAATAGTAAGTAAGCATGAAACATTTTGTGCTGTGGCACAGATCTGATGCAATAACTTGACTAGGTTGTAATTAAACAATCTGTTTTATAGGGACAATCCAAAATTGGGGAATGCCAATGATGTTGATTCGGAAATTGCAGTATATACAAAGAAATATGAAGTTCTTAACCAGCAGCTAACGAAATATAAGGTGATTAATTTCAGTGCATTATATTTTTTCCAGTAATAAATTATTTTAATTTTCTTTCCTTTAAATTTCAGTTAGTATCATATTATGACAGCCATTAAATTTTCGAATGATGTGGTTCTTTGACTTATATTACAGATAATGTTATCCGAAGCTCAAGCTGAATTAAATATTCCGATATCAGTTATCGGGTATGTTCATAGTCCGGTCGCGATGTTAGTTATTAATCTTTATGATAAGAATTTTTTTACTCAGTATGACAAATTGGGTATTTCGAATGATTGTTTAAATAATATAACAGATAAATATATGGTACAAAATAATAGCAATATTTTTTGAGCTCTATTTGAAACTGCCTATTGTTGAAATAAAGCTTGTGCTTTCAGGGTAATGTACTACAGAATAAAGTCTTTTATATGAGATGTTTTATGGTTTTTTTTAATTTCAGTATCTTAAAATTCACAACTCCTCTCCTAGTTTTATATTTTCAGATCTGAACCACCTGCTAGACCGCCTCCTCCAAATCACTCAGGATTTAGCACACCTTCTCAATTATCTCCACGTCAAATATCTACACCGAATACTCGAATAAGCAATCATCGTTCATCATATTCGGAAGAATCTGTTTCATCTGATGGTTCAGTTGCTATCAGTGCTAATCAAAAAGTGGCATCTCCTCAGAGCACTAATAAAAGTACTTGCTCAGTCTTTCTATTTTAACATAACATAAAGTAATGTCCAATTTCTTTACATTATTTGTAACTGTTAGAAGATTTTTATTCATTTTGTGAACCTGTTTTTTTTGGATGACTGAAAGATTTGGATCTGTCTCTTCTTGTGCAGTTTCGATGACTGAAAATAAAGTGTCGCTTTTTATAGAATTTTTGATGAATCAGTAGTAAGGCATGAAATGTATTTTCTACTTTATACTCTAATTCCAGTATTCTTTATTAGCTTAGACAAAGTGCTAAGATTGTACTTTTTCACTTCTATCTTTTCAAATGACCTACAAATTTAGCAGCAACAATAATTGAAAAGTCAGAAGTATACGAAGAATGTGATATGCCAGCGTTAGGTACTTGCATGGCACTGTATGCCTTCGAGGGTGGTAGTGAAGGGACAATGGCTATGGAAGAAGGCGAGGAGATGATTTTATTGGAACGAGATGAAGGAGATGGTTGGACTCGAGTTAGGCATGTTTCCTCAGCACGTGAAGGTTTTGTTCCTACTTCTTACTTACAGTGTAGGTGGTATCCTGATTAAGTTTGTCATTTCATTTCGTGCCATTATTTTTGTCAATTTGAAATTGACTGAGCTTATGATTACTATAATGACACGAGTTCTCATCCTTCTATTGTATCTGAAAAGTATGAAAAACTGTAAAGCATAATTGTTTGTGTTATTTTCTTCTTAAAGAGAGTTTTTGTTTTGTAATTCTTGTTATTGATTTCTTACTAGCAAAATCTGTGACTCACAAAATGTATATGCATGAAGGTCTTCAACTAAGGAGATTATGCTCAAGCTTTCATTTGTGATTGCATCACCATTTTGTGCAGATCACCGAGTTTCTAAAGTTAGTTGCAAGGATTTAGCTTATTCACGAAATATATTTTAAGTTACTGCGTTTTATTTCGCTTTATTTCTCTATCATTCGAATAATATTTTATGTAAATCATTCTAATTTCATAAGCTGGAATGCTCAATATGTGAACTCCGAATTCTGTTTTGTTTGAATGCTTATTTTATGCACACGCATCATTACTTTCCAGAAAAAAGACGGCTCATTGTTTATTTTGTAATGTGGTTCATAAATAAATTCTTTGCGGGCGTTTATATTTTTGCCATTTAAAATGAAATTCATTGTATTCACCGTATGGTAAGCGAAATTATTGAATCTTATAATGAATGATTCTTTTATCTAGAGTTTTTACTGAGTTCATTTACTGACGCTTAATATTTTTATATAGTTACTTGCATTGCTTTTGTCTCAATTTTGCAATCTGTTGCCCAGTTTACTCATATACTTGATGACGTTGTTGTTAGTATTTGGAATTATATTTGCTATTTAATTCTATCAACAAAGCTTTTCTCTACAGTTTAACAGCACTGTTTTACGTTTCAATTGCAAATAACTTCAGTAAGTTGTTTAATGCAATAAAATTTGCAAATTCCTTCAACTTTACTCAAACAACTTACTTTAAAATTAGGGACCTTGCTCAAGTGCTTCATTAATTAATGCTTTGCAGTAATACTACCATTTCCTTCATTAATTCTTCAGTATTTCTATTCCATGTTCAAGCAAGAAATATAGTTCTCGAGTACACTGGGTTTTCCGTACTCATTTCCTCTTATTTGTCTAAGGCGTGCGTCCATTTCTTGCCAAGTCATGCTTCTATTTTTTTTAAACTTTGTTATTGAATTCGTTTCCTACAAAAAAGTCACTCCAATGTTTTTAAGGTTGATGGAACTACGTGCCTAAATGCCTTTAATATTTTTGTGTCGTTTCGTATAATAATGAGAAATGCATCTTAAGACCATATAAGTCTATTCTGAGTATCGCTTTTGGTAAGACCATAACTAATGCATGACTCTTTACTTTTTATTTTTCAATTCAGTAGTATGTTGAAGCATTGACTGCTTCAGTGTGCTGCGAGGATATTGAGATTGTTAAACTACGTGAAGAAGAGAACTATAACTTGAGTACTGAGGTCCTTGTGGCAAATTTGACGCAAGCTTTAATCCGATTTATGCCATACATATATCTTCTCCTGGTTACGACTACTTCAATGAGAATGATTATGCTATATTATGAAGAACTTTCCAGCGTTAAAACACACCCAAATAAGCCGACATGGCTATGTAATTCAGCTGTTTTTTTGCGTAAAGGGATTCTCTAACACTAAAAATTAATGTTGTGTGAAAGAACTGGTGAGATTTCTTGGAAATTCAGTATTGCACTTGACCAGAATTGGTAAAGTTATTTTAGATTTAGAACATCGTAGAAAATTGAAACAGTTGGGAAAGCGCATAACATTAAGGTAATACAGAACAATATTGGCATCTACATAGCCTGGAGAAAAGGATTAGATTCTCTTAGAAACCCAGTTCGTGATTTCATACCCTGAAATTCCAAGGATGGTGATGACTACAATATACAATATCGAGAGAAACGAAGTATTAGCATGAAGGGAATGATCTCGGAAAAAAAAAACACCTATAGAAAGAAGTACTAGTGCCAAGAAGTACACAGAGAAAGACAGAACGATAAAAAACAGTAAGGATTCTCTCTTCATTTTTTTCCTCAAAAGTTTAACCAAAACCCAGAAAACTGAGTTGTCAGTTGTACTTCTCGTTATTGACAAAATGCACTAAGTTAGGAATAAAGAGAAAATTATCAAATGAAGCGACCAATTTCAGTTTTTTTAACTTCCTGATCTTGATAAGTGTAACAACTGTTCTATAGTCTTATCGCACATCTTAAATTTTAAAATTCTCATGCTGTAGCTAAAAGTGACTGTTTTTACCGAGTAAATTTTCATTGTAATTTTTTTCAGTATTCAATATAATAAACAAGAAAGCACATATTTCTTGATCATATAAAAGTCGCCAATATATTACATGAATAACTGAAAAATCGCGATTAAAGTTCAAAGTCTGGAGAAACTAAGCTTCAAGATGCTGTTCCGATGCAACTCGATCAAATGTGTTTTCCTGAGCAATATAATCTACAATCCACTTGTAATCTGGAGAGCCTTCTTTTAACTGGTTGATGTAGCGATTAGTAACCTTAAAATACGAAACTTATTAGCAAAGTTTAATTGAAACTTCAAATTATCACTATATCTGATTCTAACTGAATATTACATACTTCAAGGGCTCTTCCTAGATGTTGACTGACAACAATTAGATTTACAATAGCTTCTGGATAATTGGCATCTCTCTGCAGCGCTCCCTGGAAACAAATGGGAAGCTTTAACGCTCATAAAAGAAATAGACTTAGAAAAACAATTTATTGCCACACTGCGCTAAACTGATTATTGAAAAGCAAATTGGCGTTACTTGAAAAGAAGTAAACAAAAGTAAACACAGTGCTGAATGTACTGTTACAACTTTGTGAAATGGAAAACCGAAAAGTGAAATCAAAAATGCGGCTAAACTAACTAAAAGTAATTTTTCCGCTTCTTCAAATTTGTGCTGCAGAATTAAACACGACGACTGAGCGACTAAAAGCAATGGGGTTGAACCGTATTTGTCGATCATCTCTTGATATGTATAATACACATCCTTCAATTTATCTTTTCCCTGAAAGAAAGACAATGAAAAATAAAATGGCCAAAAAAGACTAATTTGATAACAGAAAAATGAAAGTCAAAACAAACCAGTGCCATATTGACCCAAGAAAGAGCAAGTTGCGTTATAGTCGCATCTTCATCCTTTGCCTGCATTTTTTTCACTTCTTTTGCTGCCAAGTCAACACGATCTATTTTCAACAAACATACAACAACTAAAGAACGAGTTTCCAAAGATTCACAGGGATGCAACAGTCGCAATGCTTTTTCAATATTCTGAAATTTTATGAATGATAAACATTTTTCAACTGTCCTACCACTAATATTTATTCGTTTCTTAAACAATAATAACTTTTTATAGAAACAACTGGAATTTCTATAGTAAGGCAATAAACAAAGCTCGCTAAACTTTGTATGCCGAAGATATTGAAATAAATTTCATAAGGACATATAAATAAGTGAAAAAATTTTAAGACTATCTAAATTTCTGCATTATGTAGTAACTATTTCCAATGAAGCAGTAACTACTTTCCGAACAAAAAGATTAGACATTAAAATCTTGACTAGCTACAAAGTAATTATGTATAAAATATATGAGACAATATTAAAGCACTGATAACTAAATACAGTAATTCAAAAAAAAATTACATTCTCATGGATATACATTTCAGCTGCCATCAGAGAAACTATATCATCATGATATCGTTCTTCATCAAGCTCGGTCTCAAACTCCTTTAATATTGATGATCTGCAAATAAATGCCAATCAAAAATGATGTCAAATACATTAGTAATTTTAGTTAAAATGATTTCGAGCTTAATCAATTCGAAAGATCTTAGAGTACTATAAAACTTGGATATTAAAGTGGAGTTCTATGGACAGTGAAGCTACTGATTGAAGTTGTTAAGTGTTTGAGACCAAACATTCGCAGATAACATCAATGTACCACAGTTCAACTCCGCGATAGTTACAAACACAAGACGAAATAAGAGTAAAAACTTCAATCGCCAAACTGAAGAAAAACAAATTATAAAACTGTTTTAGTGCCCTTAGAGAAAAAACTCTCTAGAAACTTATAATTCATAGTCTCCCACTTCTCCAATAACTGAAAATTTGGAAAAGAAATCAGGAAGCTAAGTTTCAAACACTGTCTCATACAATTTACAGAGCGCGAAATAAGACACAATATACACAATGAATGGTGTTTATTCACTTGACAGCTCTTTGGCAAGTTTGCCATCAATATTTTAAGAATTATCGAGAGGACTGGTAAGATGTTTCAGAAATTACCTTCTAGATGGATTCGCTAAATAGTTAGCATAATGACGAATCGCTCTGAGCGGAGGTGATTGAGAAGTTTTATCAATCTCACTTAATACTAGCTGAAGTTTATTTTGCCCAATATAAGCTCGATACATGTAGACATCTTTTAGCAGTTTATGATTCTCATCTTTCACTTGTAAGCTCTATAAAAGGAAGTAAATTTGTGTCAAATGCTGTTGTACAGTCGATAAAATTACTTTGCTAACTGTGCTTGTAACTTCTCAGTTACTTGAAACTAAGAACTTCACTGGCTGCAAATTTAATAAAGACAAACAAAAACTTTATATCATCGATTTTAATTAATATTTTAGTAAGCATCATATTAACAATTTTTCTTCCAACTACTGTCTTATTATAAGACACTAACAAGATGACAAGATCGAGCTAGAACCATTTTACAGAATAAACTACGGAAAAACATGATCGTAAAAGTCGAAGAAAGCAAATTGTTGTGACTACCTTTTTCAAGTTTACCTGAAATAACATGACTGCAAAACAAATAAGTACAAAAATAAATAACAGAACTTACTTGTGCTTCGTTTATGCACGCCTGATATGCCCCAAGTAAAAAATTATTGCGTATTTCGAACAGAGGGTCAACGTTTTCCGTACTCTGCATCGTTCACCGAAACCACGGATAACTTGAAATCTTAGAGAACGACTCACTATAATACTAGAGACCAACACCCTAAAATGCAACAACCTCACATACACGTAACTCCCGACCACGTTCACCACCTCTGTGTTTGTCTCTCTCACGTTCACCACCTCTATGTTTGTTTTTATCAAAATGATAAACCTCTAACAAAATGTAGCATACTAACATTATGCAATTTAATATCTCAAACATAGCCCACACTAATAAATAATCCAATTCGATAACTCATTTACTCATATTACATGATAGCTGTGCTAATTAGGTAAAAGTAATTAGTATGCGGTGAAGTTATCATAAACCAATCAGTCTACGATATGCACTGGTCAAAACTTTATTGAAATCAGAAATATGTTTTCCTGAAATGTATTTTGCAGTAATCTCCTTTGAGTAATGATAGTTTTCAATTAATATATGAATAATTTATTACTAATTTAAATGAAAACTTGAAATTATAATATAAAATGTAGTAAAAATTATGAATAAATTAAAATGTCGGCTAATTTTGTGGACATTTTTGTAGCATTACAAGAAGTTATCATAATGGTAATTCTGCAAATATTCATAAAGCATGAAATTATTATTATAAATACTGAAGAAAAATGCATGTTTTACTATTTTTGCTTTCGGTATTGGCGTGACTGGTTGTGAGCTCCTTAAGCTTTCGGTTCGTTTCCTGTACTGTACTGTTGGGCAATCCAAGCTTTCTGTACAGTAAGAACTGTGGCGGGATAGATGGCTATACGCATGGAATGTTTAAAAATAATTATTTGAAAGCTATCAGTACTAAGTTAAGATAAAAAGTTTAATTGTAAGCAGAAAAGTACTCAGTTTGTCTGTAATAAAATTAAATTCTGATAAAATTACTTACAAAAATGAAATTAAATCCAAGCTATCTTATAGATTCAACACAAAATACTGCAAACGAAGAAAAAATAATTCTAGAATAAATGGCGAAGTCTGGAACAAAATTAGAGGTACATTTTAGGAATACAAATGAATCTTCAGCATATTTCCTTAATATTTTATGCAAAATTTAACCAATTAAGAGTTACTTTCTCCATTCACATTATATTTTAAATGATAACCTTTAACCCTTTTTAAGTTTGATGTAATCCATAAACTAGCGATTATCTGTTCTCAAATTGCTACAGCATTCTAATCAGAAGATAAAAATTACTGATAACAAAATGCATAATCTTTAATTCACCTGGAAATAAATAACACATACGCACTAAAAATTTATATAATTTGGACTAAAGAAACTAAATTTGTAAATTATATACATTTATTACATAAGCCTACAAATACTACTAGCAAGTATACATACGCATACTTTCGTGTGCAAACTTGAAATAGTAAACTGCGCATATTTACACGTGCGTTACATCAGCAATTGCGTATTTTTTACAAGCATGTATGCATATGTAAAAAAATACTTCACGTGGATTTTGATGAAAACTTTGATAAATATAAAGTCGATCATTTGCAAGTAATTGCTATTAAGTACTTCATTAAGTACTTCATATTTAGTCATACAACAATAATAAAAAGACTTTGAGTCAAGCAATCCAAATTCCAAGCTTTTGATGAATAATTATATCCATTATTAACTTTATTATGCTTATAAAAGCTAATAATGAAAGCATTTAGCTTTAACTAAAGTAGTATTTTATGGAGCTAATCACAGTTTTTCCACTTGCCATCATTCTGAATTGTAATGTGAAATGAATGATTGATAGTTGAGAAGAGATTTGATAATTAGAGATTCATACAAGGCATTTCATTATATATATATTTCCATCTTCTATTGTGGTAACTGGACAAGTAATACTTTAAGCAATGAGAAACTAAGTTGCTTCAACGTTAAGATCACGTTGATGTACGCCATGTTCAGACTTCATGATATCATCCATTTATTAATACAATTTCAAATATTAAGTAGAAAAAAAGAGGTACTTTCAGGAAAGCGCTATAACAGGGAAGGCAACATCGAAATCAACTGAAGATACTCAGATCAGCTTCACATCCAAGAACAACGTATAATTTGTATTACAAGATCAACAGATCAAAATTAATCACTAGGAAAAGTCCTTTAATATTCCATGAATAATCATAATTTTAAAAGATACTTTTACGCAATTTATTTCAAGTAAAATGTTAATTTTTTTACCATTAAACGATTTCTGAACGTAAAATCTTGTACAGAATATGAGTAGTTTTAATCTTTAAAATGTTTATGTGCTAATCAGGAAGATAAGTTAGAAGTAGATGAGAGTGAGAAATCCGCGGAAGTTGATGAAGAGCCCAAACTACGAATGGAAGCGGTAAATAAATTGGGCCAACAATCAATAAACGAAGTTCCACCGATACAACCAAAAGGTCAAGTAGAAGAAGTAGCAAATATTAGTGGAACAGATAATTCAGAAAAATCATCACAACGAAAATCATCTAAAGGTGAACCGGATAAGTTGATGCCCCTGCAAATAATGAATCAAAGCACTGGACAAAAATCAAAAAGTAGCACTGATAAATCGACATCACAAAAATCAAATAAAACTTCAACAAAAGAACAATCTGAAAAAAGTTTATCGAAGGAAAAATCTGATAAATGTCCATCACCAAAGGCAACAAAAACCAAAGTACAAGAATCTTCACGTACTGGTCATTCACGTCAACCAACACCAAAATTGGAATCATCGAAATCGGTGCCTTCATCTCCGGTACCAACAGCTGCACTTCCTGCATCAAAAGTAACAGAAACCAAAAAAGTTTCACTTTCATCGAGTTCTGCTAAACCTACCGCACCTTCAAACGCTCTTTCTTCCTCGTTTACTGGCGATGAAGAAGATGACTACTTTCACGGGTTAATCATTTAAAATTCTTTATTCTATATTTATTTTCTCATGGAAACATATTGCATCTAATAATTATAGGGATTAATAATTATTTATGTTTTATTGATAGATTTCTACCTCGGGAGGATGCTAATATGCTTTGTGTTTTGGATGGCGATTTCCTTCTGCGAACTACAGAAATTACATCTGGTCAAGACCGCAAGGTAATTATCTAAAGCAGTTTACTAATTAGTTAATTAGTATTTATTAGGACACTTCTATGGAAATTAAATATGCTAATTAAATATTTTTGCATACTATTATCATTTTCAGTTATGCCTAACAGTGGCATGGCGCGGCAAGCATCACATAATATTATTTTACGACAAAACAAAAAATAGGTATGGGATTAATCCGAATCGAACATTTGCCTCCATTACGGAATTAGTCAATTTTTATGCACAAAATACGTTCAAAGTTCAAGGGGAACACGTTTTACTCAAGAATCCAGTAGTTTCACAAGTATGTTACATTTTTGAAACCACTTTTTCCAGTAAATTTGATATTTATGTTTTGTACTATACAATTATTAATATGGTTTATTCAATGAAGGTTTTCTAGAATTTCTGTAGTATTTCACTTTACCTTAATTGCATTGATATTCTGAAAGCACTTTTAATAATTATAAATTCATGATGCTTGCATTCAGCCATGGGAAGTGAAGCACAACCAGTTACAACTTCTTCAGAAGCTCGGAGAAGGAGCATTTGGTGAAGTGATTTGTGCCAAACTTGCGCTTACTCCGCGATTCTGCGTTTATGCCGCTGTTAAAGTAGTAAGTAGCACCAAAGTAACCTAAGTTTTTAACTGTATTTTTATAAGATAGAAAATTGCAAAAATTACGACCAGAAAAAAAAGTAAAACTATTGAAGTACTAATTCTGTTAAAAATTAATTACAGCAAGTACTGATTTCACGATAATAACCTTCAAAAATCGACTACTTTTTATGGATTTGTAATCAAATAATTTAAAAAATTTTCTCTGAAATCATATTTTGTTATAAATGTAATTTGTCTGGTATAGTTTTAAGTTTTATCAATTATTAAATCTAAATGTTTGCGACTTACTTACTTATAGTCAAATAAATGTGTCTCATATAAATGGATGATTATTACTTTCTTTCTTAAAAATTAGTTCTATCATTGAAGTTAAAATGCGATTCAATGACTAAAGAAAAAGTATCAGAAGCAATGAGTGAAGTTCGGATGCTGCGAAATTTAAGACATGAAAATATTGTGCGATTTTATGGGGTCGCAAATAAGCAAGAACCTTTGATGATTGTTATGGAATTCGTCAAGGTAAGACTTATACCAAGTAAGCAATTACCTATTATAATTCAAATCAAAATCGCTTATAAAAGTATATTCAATCGTACAGTATAATTAATGTCCCAAAATTACTAAAAACTTTAAAATAGTATACAAAGATTACAATTTCAGGAAGGTTCATTAGATTCATATTTACAAAAAAAAGGTAGTACACTACAAATGCCAACAAAAATGTTAATGATTAGCGATGGAGCAGAAGGCCTAACTTATTTGCATAGTCTCAATATCATGCATAGGTATGCAATTTACTTTAATAACAAAAAATTCCACTTTTATTAGTTCAGAAATACAAGAAAAAAAACGTGGTGGATTTAATTTAAAGGCTTTTCATAGGCTAAACTTTTACAGTGACAGATTTTAATACTTGCTAGATATTTTATCTCATAAGTAATTACTGTACGATCTGCAGCATTCTAAAAGCTTATCAAATACTCAAAATAGAAAATTTTGAAGAATTTACCTAACACTATCAAATACTCAACACACAAAAAAGTTTATCAATAATTTTTAAAATTGATTAAGTACTTTAAAAAAATACTGTTTCGAAGTTGAATTTTTCTTGAAAAATTTTCTAATAATTCAAAGAATATTTAATAAATGAATATTAATAATTTAAAGGATATTAATAAATGAATACTTGAAAGTTTTTTTTCGATTTGTACTAAATCAGTAAAAGTAATGCCATCAGTTGAGTTGAGTATAGTTAGTTCATTTTGATTAATAATATCCTTATTAGGGGAATAATAAGATGAATGAGGTAAAATTCTTTAATGGAAAGACCAGTAATTAAGAAGTATAGATTAATCAAAATTATGCAATTCTTTCTCGAGAAGAGCAAGAAAACACCGCGGTATTATGGTTACTTTATGGCATTGAAGGATCTGATTAAAATGATAACATTAGATAATTTCAAGAGATTTGGCAGCACGTAACTGCCTTTACAACGGAGAGGTAGTGAAGTTGAGCGATTTTGGCATGTCTGTTAATGGACCTCAATACAAGATGCAGCCTACAGATAAAGCACCAGTTCGCTGGCTTGCTCCTGAGGTATTACACCAAATATCAAGACCATGATCTCCACCAATATTCATATAAAACTAAATCGTAGTTCATGTTAATAACTAATTTAAGGTTCATTATAACTTTTAATTAAAAGTGAAATAATTAAAAGAATATTTCTATTGCAATCATATCACAAATTTCACTAAAATGCAGGTATTTCGTACCTTAACATATATGTTCTGCTCCGATGTCTGGGCCTTTTTCATCATGGTATGGGAGATTGTATACAATGGTGCTAAGCCCTACACCGGATGGGATCAAGCACGGGTCAAGACAGAGGTATTGCTTAACTTAACAAGAAATCATAACTTTTTATGCAAAGGCAAAGAATAAACTTGTCTTCATATACTAATGTAAATTGAGGCACGAAAATATATTTGCTTGTGAAAATCCATAAATTATTATGGTAAAAAATCAAACGTATTCTTCAGGTTCTTAGGGGCAGTAGGATGCAAGTACCTCCTTTACTACCTCCCAAACTTCAAGAACTATGCAGACAAGCCTGGAATGCAGATTGCGCTAGACGACCAACCATGCACGCAGTTACAACCGAAATCAGAAAAATAGTCGGAGAGTATGTTAAACTTCAAATTTATAATCTCAAAGAATAACACTTTGGACCTTAATCCCAAATCAAACCTTTTCTAAAAGACATACTTAAGCACTTCCACAGCCTTTTTATATTTAGAGCAAATTACAACGCCAAAAGGAGAGGCTCTCTTACTAACATGATCACAAATGCGCAAGGACCAGCTTTTAACCCCAAACCATTTAAACGAAGAAA